CTGGCCCAACGCGGGGCCGGTCTCCTAGCCCGTATCCGGGAAACTAAGGGCAGCAACCGGTGGAGGTGCGGTTGCTGTGCGACGAACTACCGAAGATCCTCCGACGACGACGACGCCGCGACGGAGCTTTCCGAACACAACGCCAACCAGGCAAAGCCTTGACGGCGAAAGCTCACTTACCGAAGGTGGCCTGACGACGCAACATGGAAGCAGCGGAACAAGCCGACGCAGCCGTGACCCAACGCCACGCCCTAACTGTAATGCGAGACGGCGAATTAGCAACCTCGACGTTCTTATCGACGGCCACAATGTGACCGCTCTCGTCGATACTGGAGCCGACTATTCTGTCATCAGTGGGTCGTTCGCCGCGAAGTTAAAGAAAGTTAGGACAGCTTGGAAAGGCCCTGAAATCCGCACAGCCGGAGGTCATCTCGTAACGCCTGCAGGAATCTGCACAGCGAGAGTCACCATTAACGGCCGTATTTATCCTACAGACTTCGTAGTCCTACAGCGTTGCTCGAGAGATGTCATCCTTGGCACGGACTTCTTATGCCTCCATGGTGCTGTCATCAACCTAAAAACAAAGTCGATAACGTTATCCACAGAAGAAGCACTACCGCCGCGCACGCCGTCTGGACACCATGCCTTGAATGTGCTGGAAGAACAAGTCACCATTCCGCCTCGCTCAAGCGTCATTATTTCAGTCGGCGCTCCTGAATCACCTGACTTCGAAGGCGTCGTTGAAGGCAGTCAGCATCTGTTGGTCACCCGAAATATTTGCGTCGCAAGAGGAATTGCAGAGTTGCGGGGAGGCAAAGCAACGGTTATGCTCACAAATTTCAGCAATGAGTACAAACATGTGAACAAAGGAACAACAATCGCATACATCGAAGAAATTGTCGAAGCCACCAGTGCTTTCGCCCTCGCCGATTCTGCGGAACCTGCTCAGAGGAACCAAGCCCCTCCCATAGCTTTCGACGTCAATCCCAGACTTTCGAACGATAAGCAAGAACAGCTCAAGGCCCTGCTCCTGCAATACGAAGATTGCTTTTCGTCGTCATTGAAAATTCGGCAGACCCCAATCACGAAACATCGCATCATAACCGAAGAAAATGCCAGACCACTCCGTCAGAGTCCGTACAGGGTTTCGACGCGAGAACGTGAGGCCATCAAGAGACAAGTTGATGAAATGCTGCGGGATGATATTATCCAGCCGTCCAAGAGCCCATGGGCATCCCCCGTGGTGTTAGTGAAGAAAAAGTATGGGACCCTACGTTTCTGCGTCGATTATCGCCGCCTGAACAAAATCACAAGAAAGGACGTGTATCCTCTCCCACGAATAGACGACGCACTTGATCGGCTCCATAACGCCAAGTACTTTTCGTCAATGGACCTCAAGACTGGCTATTGGCAAATCGAAGTCGACGAAAGAGACCGAGAGAAGACGGCGTTTATAACACCGGACGGCCTCTTCGAGTTTAAGGTGATGCCCTTCGGCCTTTGCTCAGCGCCTGCAACTTTTCAACGCGTTATGGATACAGTACTGGCAGGATTGAAGTGGCAGACTTGCCTTGTGTACTTGGACGACGTCGTCGTGTTTTCCTCGAGTTTCGACGAGCATCTTCGGCGCCTTGAAGCTGTACTTCAAGCCATCAAGACTTCCGGACTCACACTGAAGCCAGAAAAGTGCAGATTTGCGTATGAAGAGCTCTTGTTTCTGGGGCACGTTATCAGCAAGTCTGGAGTTCGTCCTGATCCACGGAAAACAGCCGCCATCGCCGAATTCCCGCCGCCCACTGACAAGAAAGCCGTGCGCCGATTTCTGGGCCTATGCGCCTATTACAGGCGGTTCGTGAAAAACTTCGCCCGCATCGCCGATCCTCTCACTAACCTTACCAAGGCCGACGTGGAGTTCAAGTGGGAAACGCCACAGGAACACGCTTTCCAGGAGCTTAAACATCGCCTCCAGACGCCTCCGTTACTTGCCCATTTCGACGAATTCGCCGAGACAGAAATACATACTGACGCAAGCAGCGTAGGTCTTGGCGCCGTTCTTGTGCAGAGGGCTGACGGACTTGAAAGCGTTATTAGTTACGCCAGCCGACCGCTATCCAAAGCAGAAGCAAATTATTCCACAACAGAAAAGGAGTGCCTCGCCATCATCTGGGCTACGTCGAAATTTCGCCCATACCTCTACGGCAGGCCCTTCAAAGTTGTGAGCGACCACCACGCCTTGTGTTGGCTAGCCACTTTGAAAGACCCTTCAGGTCGCCTCGCACGATGGAGCCTGAGACTTCAAGAATATGACATTACTGTCATTTACAAGTCCGGCAAAAAAACACTCCGACGCCGACTGTCTCTCTCGTGCGCCTGTCGACCAACCGCTACCCGACGACCCGGATGACGACTACTTCTTGGGAACGATAACTACCGACGACTTCGCTGAACGACAGCGGGCCGACCCGGAACTTAAGGCCCTAATAGAATACCTCGAAGGCAGGAACGCCGAAGTCCCGAAGGTATTCAAGCGCGCACTTGCGTCGTTTTTTCTACGAAACGGTCTTCGACAAAAGAAAAACTTTTCACCGCTTCGGGCTAAGTATCTTCTTGTGGTGCCTTCAGCTCTGCGACCAGAACTCCTGCAGGCCCTGCACGACGATCCGACGGCAGGGCACCTCGGTGTTTCTCGCACGCTCGCGAGGATACAAGAAAGGTACTACTGACCGCGTCTTACAACCGACGTCACTCGTTATGTGAGGTGTGAGGACATGCCGGGACTGTCAGCGACGCAAGACACCGCCGACAAGGCCAGCGGGACTTCTGCAGCCAATTGATCCACCTTGCCGACCTTTCCAGCAGATTGGTATGGACCTACTGGGGCCGTTCCCGACGTCGGCTTTCGGAAACAAGTGGATCGTGGTAGCTACCGACTACCTCACCCGCTACGCCGAGACAAAAGCCCTGCCAAAAGGCAGTGCATCCGAGGTAGCTAAGTTCTTCGTCGAAAATATCGTCCTACGTCACGGCGCCCCAGAGGTCCTTATCACCGACAGAGGAACGGCATTCACTGCCGACTTAACTCAAGCGATCTTGGCATACAGCCAACAAACCACCGCCGGACGACAGCGTACCACCCACAGACCAACGGCCTCACCGAGCGGCTTAACAAGACGATCGCCGACATGCTGTCAATGTACGTCGATGTCGAACACAAGACGTGGGATGCCATTCTTCCGTATGTGACCTTCGCATACAACACGGCGGTGCAGGAGAGGCCGCAGATATCTCCATACAAATTGGTCTACGGAAGGAGCCCGGCAACGACGCTCGATGCCATGTTACCCAACGTCACCGACGAAGAAAACTTCGATGTGAGCGAGTACCTTCATCGCGCCGGAGAAGCCCGACAACTTGCGCGGCTCTGTATCAAGAATCATCGGACGACCGACAGCCACCGTTACAACCTTCGACGACGCTTCGTGGAATACCAGCCCGGTGAACGCGTTTGGGTGTGGACGCCGATACGCCGACGTGGACTAAGTGAAAAGCAATACTTTTTTGCAGACTAGTTGGTTCATACTTGAAAAATAGAATTGCTGCACAAACTTGAAGAAAAAAACAAGAGAGACAGGAAGGAGTGCAGCCTCCTTCCTGTCTCTCTTGTTTTTTTCTTCAAGTTTGTGCAGCAATTCTATTTTTTAAGTGAAAAGCTTCTGCGACGGTACTTCGGACCGTACAGGGTGGTTCGACGTCTCGGCCCACTTGATTACGAGGTTGTCCCCGACGGCATCACGAACTCTCAACGACGCCGATCGCGACCTGACGTCGTCCATGTCGCACGCCTCAAGCCGTTTTATGCGCGTTAACAAACTGAAACAGTGTTTTTTTTGTATTATTGTTGTATCGTAATTTATTCATTGTACTTTCTTGCATTGTTATTGTACCTTCATCTTTAGTTAAAGCATCGAGACGATGCCTTTTTCAGAGGGGGGCAATGCCACGTTCCATTTCCCAAGTTTTTGTTATCGTCCCAAAACACCACACGATTCTCAGCGCAAACCGCGCCTGCAGTTTTCGAGAGGGTTCCGGACTGTAGTAGATCATTTCGATAAGATCACGCCCACTGTGCGAATGGTACAGATTGTTCTGGAACGCACGCCGCCGCCAGCGATAGCGCTAGAACATTCGACGGCGGGAGTATAAATGCCGACGCGCTTCGCCGCTTGTCAGTTGTTGATCGAAGGCCGACACTCCGTTCGCCGCTATCAGTCTGAGACTGCTATCTGTGCGAGACTACTGCTGTAATTGGACTTTTTTGTTTACCGGGCAAAGGTTCGCCCAAATAAACAGTTAAATTCCAACAAGAAGTCTCCTGTCTTCGGCCACGTCACGACCCCGTGACAATATTGTACATATTGCATTTGATTAGTTGTTTTTTTTCCTATTGTATTCTTAATTTTGCTTTTCTGTGTGTTTCTATTGTACATTACTGTTATGAAGTTGGGATAGCCGGCTCTAATGTAGCCTACCTTCCCATGTTCCGCCAAATATAAATAAAAAATATTATTATTATTGTAGAATATTTCAATGCTATACAGTGGACTCTCAGTAAACGGAAATATGTTAAACGGAACTTCTGCTTAAATAGAACAACTTCCTCTGTTTAAGAAGGGTAAGAGCGCACTGAATACGAATACACAAAGAAAGGACACACACACACACATAGCGCTATGTGTGTGTGTGTGTGTGTCCTTTTTTTGTGTATTCGTATTCAGTGCGCTCTTACCCTTCTTAAACATGGAATACCAACATGCCCACCTTTCCACCTCGGTGAACTTCCTCTGATACGATTGGTTTTATGAATGCTGCTACCCACTTCACCTCTCAGTAAACGGAACTCCAGTTAAATAGAACACATTTTTCGGGTCCCTTAAGGTTCCGTTTAATGAGAGTCTACTGTACTACAAACTTAAGCACACATAAAAACGGGCATCACTCACCTTTAGCTGCTCAAGCCTCTCCTTTGTGGTTTCAATATCATCATCTTCATTGGGTGTGTACGACAGCAAGCGGTCGACTTCCATCAGCCAAGGCTTCAACTCCAACAAGTCTTCCTTGACTTGCTCAGCACGGGAGTTGTCAACAGCGAGCCTAGAAAATTTGTGGACAAAAACAAAGGTAACCCTACCGTCTACCATTCTTTCAAAAATATGCTTACGGAAACCACATTACTACTACACTCAGACCTCATTATAACAAAATTGCATCTCTCACAAAAATAGGTTCGTTATATCCAAATATTTGTTATAGATGTTAGCTGGTGCCGTTAAATTTCGAATTTAAAACAAGCCTTCTGCGGGTTTTCTCTGTATGCTAGGACACTACCCACGAACGGTCGGACACAGCAAACGTTCAAAATGTATATTAATTCACCTCCAAAGTGTACCCAAATGCTCATTCTCCCGACCGAAGCCCATCGTGTGTCCAGAACTGTAGCAGCTCTGTAGGAAGGGCAACGGAAGTTGCAGTGACGTCACACTACATCTCGCTCTGGATCTGTAGTGAGCACAGGTGTGCACAGATTTCCCCTTTAGGCGGGACAAAGATTCATCACAGCGCACCCCCCCCCCCCCTTATTTATGTCGCTGTATGGGTCTGACTTTGCACTCCCTCCCTTCCTTAGTCGCAGCACCCCCTCCCTAATATGTGAATGTGTATGGCTGTGTTTGCAACCCCCCCAACCCCTTTGTAGGTGACTATGAAAGTGGCCGCCCCTTATCCCCCTCTCGCTCGCACGCCTATTTTAGTGAGGTGCATGTGAAGTGACCTTCGGAGACCTTCGCCATGTACATACCGGCGAAGCATTGTGGCTGCTACACGTTTGCTTTGCAGGTGCTTTTGTGGCACGTTGTGCAAGAACGCTAGCGAGAGCAGATGATAATCAGCACGACTTGCCTCACAGCCTTGTGTGACCAAGCTACACTGCTACGTCACAGCCAAATTCAGGGCCCAGAAATTGAAACCAAAAACTGTCCACATAAAAAGGGCCATATTATTTATTTAGTGAGAATAAATTACTCTTGATGCATGTATCATGCTTCCTGAATCTATAGGAAATGCTTGCGGCAAAAAACGTGCAATCCACAAAAATGGTGGCACCACCCCTTTAACACTATATATATATTGCAATACTATTTTTTATTTACTTTGTTATATTGAGGTTGGAGACCCTGAGAAAGCCTTTCCTGTAAACATTTTCATAAGAGAGTGAATGAAAAAAAGTAACGGGCACAATAAGTGTTAGTTGTCATATTCGATTGGAACTGCAACCTTTAACCCAAATTACAAATGCTGCATTACAGTAATGATGATCAGCGTATAAAAGTGCCTACCTTTCCCTCCTAGACTGCAGCTCAGAAATGATTGACTTCCATCGACGAGTCAGCGTGTCCAGCTTTTGCTGAAGGAGCACACCATCGGCAGCTGAGCACTGCTCCATAATCTGCTTAGTCATGGTCTTCACTTCCTCAAAGTGCGGCATCTTTTCCGTGACTTGCTTCTCCATTGACTGCAACAGCAAGAGAAGTGAACAGGAATTCAATACACATGCTTGCTTTCACAATCAAGCTTTTGCTACGCCATCTCGTCACTACAAGCAAGGTCTAAGAAAATGTGATGTATCATACTAAAATCGAGTAACTTTGATGTACGTATAACTCATCAAAACCAGGCTTTGCGAGTTCAAGCTGATGTAACCGACCATAACTGACCATTTTTTGTCTGTTCATTTTCTGGCTTAGCAAGCCTTTTTTTATGGTAAGAGTTGCTCTGTTGGTAATACTGTAGGAGGACAATTTACTAACACAAATTAGATTTTTTTCTTTCTCTTTGGCATCCTTTTAAATTAAAGTAATGTTTTTGACAAAAAGCTGAGTAATCAAGAGAAGTACTGTAGTCAACTGGACTAAACACAAGTGTGTATTGAAATAACAGTCGACATTCGTAACATGGTTAAAAAATATTTGCCTTGAAAATCTAAAACACTAAAACATAGTTAATCACACAGTTTTTACCTCTTGGTGTTTCTGTGAGAGTTCTACGTCCAGATCTCCGTTTGGAAGATGGCACTGAACAAGAATAGTCTCAATCTCTTCCATCCAGAGGTTGAGGCCACGGATGCTGGAATCAAACTGCTGCCAAAACTCGCGCGTCTTCAGCCAACGACTGAAAAGATAATACAATAACAAAAATTGTTTGCAACACGTGCATAACTCGCACATAAACAACTACAAACGATTCATTCTGAAGTTTTCAAAACATGAAAAGGAAACTTTTACCAGGCAACTGCAACAAAAATTAATAATGATTAGAAGGATTACAATATATGCATGCATCATTGTTTCTGGCATTCGATTTGTTTCTTTACCTGCATGCGTATTGAGAAATGCCAGTCAACAAGCACAACTACCTCGCTCATGATGAGCAGGAAGATACAGCATTACAAATAGGTAGCCACATTCTTACCATGTATGAGAGAACTACTGTGAAAGGACACAAATTGTGCACGAACAATTTATAATTAAGTAAAATTTCTTGCTCGAAGAGTTTCTCAACGACACTGGAATACAGGTATCACAGCAAAAAAAATGAACCCATAAAGAAGAAAGGGCAAGAATCAACAGGTCCGGCACTAAGTCTACCGCTTCAGACTGCTTCCTTAAAAATCTTAGTTTTGCTCTTACGCTACAACGAATTTCTCATAAAACTATAAGAGCTTAACACCTTTAGAGCGCATAAGGAACAAGAGACAGAGGTAAAACATGGACACTGCACCAACTTCCAAAAAATTATTTGTTCAAACAAATAAGCATGACTCCAATAAATAGCTGTATGCTTGTGTATTCACAGAGCAATATATAATAGGATGAAGCTTAGCACAGAAAATGCAAAAAAATTATTGAAACGTTAACAATCAATAGCTCAAAAACACATGCATCGGTGCATCTTCAATCAAGAAAAACATTCAATTTTCAAATGTGGCACCAAGGATGACTTGATGAAGACAGTTTTTCTTGGTGCGTTAGTAACTTTTTAAATATTCTCTACACTTTTCTCTACACTTTTATATTAGCTATTTATCGTGTCTTTTACATGTACCATTATTGTTTTAAAAGTCATACTCTCTAGGCCTGTGAAAATAGTGAATTCGAAGCGAATAATATGATCAAAATAATTTCGAATCAAATTCTAATAGTATATATATCTCATATTATAAATAAAAATGGACATATTTGTGATGACTCAAATAATCTGCACAATATTTTTTTTTTACTGAAATAAAGCCTGTGCAAACGCTTTGTTTTTTGTTTGCTCAAAGGAAGTGAAAACAACTTTCAATATTAGTGAAATTTGACATTCGGTAGAATAGAAGAGGTAACCTGTCAAATATGTTATGTTTTAAAAATAATTTACAGCTTATAAGTTGGAGCAACAGGCTTTCATAAAACTTCAAGAATGATTCATTGATGTCAGGAAAATATGCTCATTTAACCTTGAAGTGGGGCTTTTCAACAGCACTAACTTCCCCTGAATAAATTCTTTCATGGCTTAGCATCCCTCCACTGCAGTGAAACCATCTTTTTAAAAGTACATGCTAATTATAAACCTTTTTTATAGGTGTTTTCACGGCTTTGCACCTCTCAACTGCCGTGAAACCTCTTTTACAAAGGGTTACATGACTAATACTATGCACCCATACATTCATTTTGAATACTGTGAAATTTTCAATAATTTAAACTTGAATCGAAGCGAATACAGATACTGGTCTGATTGTTCTAATAATTGAGGCATTTGAATATTTGCATATGCCTAGTATTAACGTACATATGCATCTGCATGCATTGCTACCTGTTTTTTTTTATTTCTCTGAACTGCTTCGTAGAATTAATCATTTGTTGGAAGTTAGCTATATGTCTACCTTATACATCTGTGTCTTGTTTCTTTTGTGAACTACAGGTGCTAAAACGAAGTGCCAACACAACCAAGCTCACATTCTTACAGAAAACTGGTTTGCACGTCTTTTTTTTTTTTTTTTTTCAAACTTATTGTACAATTTGAGGTAAATGAAACCATGACGACAACTCATACATCCCAAAGACAAGCAGCGCACCTGTGACGGTCTGCATAGACCTGCTTCAGCTTGGTCCAGTCCTCACTCATTTTCTCTACTGCACGAGACACTTCCAGGGCATCCTTGTCGCTGCTCTTCTGCATTATGGCTGCCTGTTCTTGTTTCACAGAGTCCACGGTAGGCTTGAGGGCATCCAGGGCTTCTTTCACAGACTGCAGAAATGCAAAAGGCAAAGTTCCCTTGACACCAAGACGACTTTCAAGGCACAAACGCTTGCTAACAAACATTCTTTACTTACGGCCAAGAAAGGCAGCAAATCCACAAGTTATGCACTTTTAGTCTCTAAAGCTGTTACACATGCACATGTAGGAAGAGCAGTGAAATATGTATTTTTGTCAATGACATTTCACAAGTTTTTGCCTGCTGGAAGTGTTCGAGCACAATTACAGGATCTTTTTCTTATGGCAAAATCAATACAGTCATACACTAAAAAGCATAAAAGTTAGTCCTAGACTAAATTAGTGAATCAAAGCATGTTTATCCAACCAAACTTATCACAAACTAGAATCGATACTACTGTATCACGGAACATGACCTGCAGGACATTCACTAAAGAGAGAGTGTTCACTTGGCCAGCTACACATGTATCTACACCTTGAAATGCCACAAAAGGCGGACTCGATCATGTATATGACTAAACACCCCCCAAACTTTCAAGAAGTGAGGCAGAAAATGTTGATATATGCAGCAAGCAACGTGCAAGATCTGAAAAAACTAGGCTTTTGCAAATAAATAAATTTAGGTTTGAAGAGAATTCGAAGCGATAATGATAAGATTCAAATAATTTCGAATCGAATTCAAGTAGTAGGAACGACATATTATAAATAAAAATAGGCACATTTGTCAAGACCAACTAACCTGAAAATATTTTGTTGAAAATTGATACAAGGCCTGTGAAAATGCTTTTTTTTTTTCATTCAGAGGAAGTGGAAACAAATTTGAGTAGTAGCATGATTTGACTTTTGTTAGAATACAAGTGATAATCTGTAAAATATGCAACATTTCAAAATTTACTATACCTAGAGCACATAAGCTGGTAAAGCTGATATAACAAGCTTTTAAACTTAAAAAAATGACTAATCGATCTGAGGGCATTATGTTCATCTAACCCCGAGACTTCGTGGCAGTGCGAATTTCTCCTGGACAGGTGTTCTCATGGCTTAGCACTCCTACGCTGCAGCGAAACCACCTATACAAAAAGTTACATGTGGATTAATATACACCTATTTGTTTATTGCAAACACTTCAAAATTTTCGATAATTTAAATTTGAACCGAAGCAAATTTACATACTGTATTACTCGTGTGAATATTCGAAGCATTCGAATATTCGTACAAGCCTAGACAAAACATTAGTGCAAAATTATGTCAGCTCACCTTGAGAATACCTTCCTGTTTCTCAAAGTCCTCGAAGTCCTTTCCGCAGAGCTCGGGGGCATGTGCCTGCCTCCCGACGGCAAGTAGGGCTTCACGCACTTTGGCCACCTTAGCCACATAGTCAGGGATGCAAGTGACAGCACCGGAGTCTACGATGACCGCCAACGGTTGCTCGGTCTGGGTGCTGTCGGCGACACGACATGACGGCTCGGGAGAGTGCAGTATTGCAATCTGTCCCTGGGCCTGGTTCCACAGCTGAAGCAAACGCTGTAGAAGGGCTTGAGTTGCTGCTGAAGGTACGCCGCGCTCCTGCTCCAGGGATCGAGCCTGCTGCTGAAGGGAAGAGACCTCCTGGCCTACGCGTGCAGCCTGTTCCAGGGCTGCCTGCGAGTTCAAGTAGCCAGGCTGTTGGTACAGCACAAGAAACGAAGACACACAAGGAACAAGAACGCTGACTTGCAACATGCTGACTTACAAAAAGCCCTTATTTTTTTTTAATTAACCTGCTATACCACTGAAGTTACACAGCGCATGAAAAACACAGAATTCGAAAGACGTGACACGCACAGGCGCCAACTTGCAACAATGTTTATTTCAAAAACAGGAAACCACAAATATAGGCAGCATTGCTTTTCAACCATTGTCATTACAATAGCTCTACAAATTTAGCTATCTTCGCATAGATAGGCTAATTCTTAAGAGGAAAGAGCAATCACCAGATTGGAGATACATTCATCTGTCAGCCTATGAATAAACTCAGCCTCGATAATTTCGCGGCTTAGCTGACCTCTACAGATACTGATGATAGAACATTCCTGAAAAATGGGCATGCACGTGCTACAAACATTGTCACTTACACCTGAATTACTGTAGTACCTGTAGTGAGCATTCAGGGACCCACCCCTCTTTTTCATTCATGTTGTACTGGTGTTCCTCTAAATGCTCATTGACGCACCGTTCTCGCTGACGAGGCAGAATTATACCACACACTTTTCCTCGTCAGGCATGCAAACACGACACTTTTTAGTTAGACACAGTCTGATGAAACCAATGAATCCTCCCAATACATTTAAAACAGCTGCTATGCTTCACACACACTGTAAGCACACCAACACGATAACGCTAAATCTGAAAATTGATATGATGACAGTTAATTTGATAGATCATATTATTAGAAGATGCATGCACCGATTTATCTAAACATTGCTATGAACACATGTAAATGCTGGCAACACAGCAAGATCACATAAACACAATGTCTTAGAAAACTGTGAAATTAAATGGCTATCCTATCATTTACTGACATTATTTTTGTGCTGTCTTGCCCTGTTATCAAGCCTCTTGCGACCAAAAGAAAGAAAGGAAGATGTGCCAAAATGACAAGAAAATTTGTTCCATTCACTTTGTAGAGTTTTCTTTCCGAAGCAAAACGGCGTCACTATATAAGCTAAATTACGTTTTTTTTTTCTAATTGCATAAAAATATACTGCATGTGCGGTATCAGAGGCAGCAATGCAACGAAAGGCGAGACACAGAAAGAGGAAGAATAAACTCTATTAAAAAGAAAGGACAAGTGGGGCCTCCCGCATCAAAATACACAACTACAGAAGATATAGACATCATTGGTCATTTTGTCAGAAAATCTCATGAAAACAATATTCGTCAATGATTGCTGAAGAGTTAAGGCACCTACCTTCTGGCGACTCTGGACCATGCGTGCATGCTCAAGATTTCTCAGCAGCAAGACCATCTGGACCACTGTTGCATCTGTTTGCTGCTGCAGGAGCTTCCAGCGTACCACTAGGTCTTGATAGTGAGAGCGGCGCTGCTCGGCTGCCTTACGCACCGTGTTCCACTTAGAGTCCAATGCCTCAGCCTCTGATCGAAGGCGCTCGAGAGCCGCAGGCACGGGACCCAGGCGCGGCGCAGCCCTGTCTACGTCTGTCGACACCTGGTCCACGGCCAACCCTAGGTGCTCAATTTCAGATGAGAGCTTCTGCAAGTGGAGACCGCCACACAACTGGTGAGCTACTGCGGACCACACATTTGAGGCAGCTGAGACTTTGTAATGCAGCATATTGCAAATTTGTTCTGTGGAAACCCGCAAGGGAGCAGAAGTGTTATGAAAGGAATAATTTTCAATCGCCTCACTGTAGCGGAAGCCTCCAAGAAATTCATACAGATTTCTCAGAAATGAAAGCATGAAGTAGAAGAAAAATTCCCCCCGGCCCAGCAGTCAAGCCCAGGACCAATTCCTTACAGGCATGGTCACTCTATCAATTTACTAACCAGGTTACTGCCATCCTTGTCCTACTTACTGCTATCATCCTAGTTGACTCAACTGACAGAACTGAAAGGTGTGGTTCAGGGTTCAATTTGCAGACCAGGAAATGCAGGAGAAAATATTTAGGAGAGGGAACTCCCAATAAAATGGCTATCCGCAGATGTCCAGATAATGTCATACAAGATACAAAAATAACAAGCTCCGATGGGGCATTCCAGTTGGCGGTGGCTTGCAGCACAATGTCGTAACCAGACAAAAAAAAAGAGAAGAAGATGCTACCGGCCGGGCGCAGCTGAGCAAGCTCGTGTACCCTCATTCTCTTTGACAGCATTCGTGACCAGACGACAGCGGTGCTTACTTCAGCAAGCACGTGAATTGTAGAAAAAATATGAAGTGGAGCAAACAATGAACGCGGCTGAAGGCACTCCGCGTCTACGCTCCATGACTGCGGCGGAACACGAGGAAGGTGCGTGACCAGTTCCATCAAAAACCGTGGCAATTCCTTTTCGGCTGCCAAAGGCCGCCAGAATGAAGTGGCTTTCCAGCAATACGACATTATCTGGTTACCTCAAGGAGTGGTGTTGCACCTCCTAAATCCTTCTTCCTCCATGGACCAGGACAAATGTTTCCTCAACTTGAAGCTTTCCTTTTTGAGAAATATACACGGATTTCCTTGTGGCTTTCTCCTAATTTTATTCGCTCTCTCTTGTCAATTATCCCTTTTGTGACTTGCAATGGCAATGCCAACGTTTGAATGAATTCAATATTTAATTCATGGTAATTTGATCTTAAGCCCTCGCTTGCTTCTTTGTAACAAGAAGGCTATAAACTTCCTATACTTCTTCTAACAGAAAAAAGACTTACAAATACAAAAAGTGCTCTATTACAAAGATCAACTTCTGATCTATCGTGCAGATATTATAGTACCAGCAAAACGAGGCATCCAAGTGGTGAGAAGAAGCAGATGAACTATTGCAATTTACCCTCTTTTTTTACATTCATTGCACTCTTTATCAAAGAAAAACAGTTGATCTGCCGAGAGAATGCTTCCTCCACCCAAGTTGTCTACACATGCACACAATCCACGTGGCCCTTAGTCTTTTACGTAACTTGTCACAATCCAGTCCTGTACTAACTTCTTGTTTTCTTAACCGTTTATGTGCCTAAGGTCCGTTAAGGGCACAAGAATTGCAAGGAGAGCAAAAGATAATGATACAACTGGATTGTTATTACTGAGGCAGTTTGTTTATAAAGTACATTAAGAGCACGAGTGCATTAGTCAAAATTGAAATATAAGTATAAGGTTAATTTGTAAATACAGGCCTTAAACTCCACTGGCCTTTCTTTGTACTGGCTTCTGCCAGTAACACAAGCAAAATAGTAGGACAATGAATAGGCTTCACCTTTATTGTCTGCTCACTCTCCTCAAGGACATCATTGGTGACAAGTTCAAAACCCTTGTCGAGGTGTGTCTCCAGAGCCTCAACCCTCTTGTTCACTTGGCGCAGCTTGGCCTCAAGCTGCTCGATTGCTGACAAATCTGCCTCCGATGAAGTTGATGACAAGTTGACAGGTGAAGCCCTCAGCTCGTTCAGGACAGATCGTTGAACCTCTATGCATACTGGTTCTAGGCTCTGTGTGGTCTAAAGAAAAGAAAGACCAACACAAATTATCTGTACTGAGAGACTAAGATTTAACACACCCTAAATTTGACCCCTCTTTTCCCGCCAAAAATACCCATTAGAAAAAACAACCAAAAGAATCATTTTTATGTCTGATATAAAAGTTGGATTTTAGTGGCTCGGTTGACAAGATATGATGACACAAATGGTTTTTACAACAGTTTCTACAACAACCAATGTTCACTTCATGGTAATCACAATTCTATTATTAAATGCATAAATGGAGCTTCAGGAACAAATTTGTAGACTCATCAATTAACTCACCACCATAGACTCATCATGTTCAAGTAAGGTATAGCCCCTTCTTGTGCATCGTATACTGCCAGCACACCCATAGTATGTGCTGGCAGGAATAAAATTTATCACACTTCTGCACCAGTCTTGAGTTTATTTGCGTGTGGTTTACATTTCAAAATGGTCATGCACCAGTCTTGAGTTTATTTGCCTGTGGTTTACATTTCAAAATGGTCATATATATTCAATTTGAAGCTGCTATACAATTCAAAAACCGAATTTAATGGGAAACTATGCAATCAAATATTCAGAATTTCAGAATATTTGCCCACATTGATATTATCAATAAAAAGCCAGTGCTAGCCATACAGGCTTATCCATATCTAAAGGAACACACTTTGGCAGATCATAAGAAAATTCCTCACTGCAGCATTAAGCTTCACCACAGAGAACACGCGAAAGATTGCACCGGCGCTTTTTCACGCGTAATACTGTAACAGCACATCCATGGGCACCAGCAAACTGCAAAGCCTGAAAGGTATAAGCCGCTGCCTGTGTGTGCCCCTTTAACAATAGTCCAACCAGCATTTAAACCTTTGTATGTGATTTCCTGTTGAAGAGAACATGCAGATGGTATTTCAACATCAATTATAGCCGAGATATGACACGAGGGACATTTAGACTAATATTTTATGCAAAGATGTACTTCCATGTGATTATATCAGTCACTTATCAATAAGATTGAACATTTTCTAGTTACACTGACTTAGTCAATGGTTGGGCGTTCTCTTTAATAATGGCCCATACAGTAAAATACTAATCTTGCAAGTCGGCCTTTCAAACTTTTCTGTAAATACTTGGCCCCACTTTCAGTGACCTCAGAAGATGCATGACTGTAGAGAGAGAAAGATGAATAACCTTGAGCTTCTCGACCACAGCGTTCCATCTCTCGCTGAGGGCACTCAGCTCGGACTCCACGGTCTTGCTGTACCTGGGTCCTTGACGCAGCAGCTCAAGTGCTTCCTCCTTGAGCATCTGCACCCTCGTGTTCTGTTCAGCCATCTCCACCTGCAAGTTCTGCGAGTGCGAGCAAGAACAACTAATTTCATAACCAAAAACATTTATCTGTCAAGCACTGAGCAATTCCAATGTTACATGACGAAAAACGCTAAAACAAGACTAAACTTTCCAAATATGCAGTGAAGGCTGCAAACGAAATGCCACTTCATCAAAGTTTGTCCGTAAACCATGAAACAAATAGTTAATTGCTACAAATAAATAGGAAATGCTGCAAAATGTCGGTGCATCTGGAATCGCAAAATAGTGAAAATATTCATGTAAATTGTAGTATAGCCTAATGGCGATCTTGCATTAAATTTCCCATGTTTCTCATGTATTTCCTTTTATCTCCCTTAGTTTATCAGCTCCCATTCAAAGCAATGCAGCAGTGTGTGTACCGAAACTATTCTCGTGACTGAGGCACAGCTTTAAGCAAAAGGCTTGGCCACCAGATGAGCTGGCATTTCCAAGCAAAGATCTTCAGCCATGCATACACGCATCAGCACACATTACAGGGCAGTCAATGTTGCTTGACACATGACACAGTGTGCTATTCACATTATGTGTAAAATCTCACTGGATTCATCAAATGATTAAAGCGATAAAAGTAGGCTTGTGCAAATAGTGAATTTCGGGTTCGGAGCAAATAGTGATTTTGGTTGAATTTCTAATTGAATTTGAATATAGTATATCGCATATTATTTAAAAATTGGTCATATTTGTCATGACCTAATTAACCTGCACAATGTTTTTAAAGACTGAAACAAGGCCTTTGCAAATGCCATTTTTTCTAGTTCAAAGGTGATGCAAACAACTTTGAATAATAGCAGAATTCTACTTTCAGTAGAACGCAAGTGATAACCTGTGAAATATGCTACATTCTAAAATTTATTACACTGAGAGTATATAAACCAATATAAGAAGCTTTAAAACTTAAAAAAAAAAATGAATCGATGCGAGGGTAATATGTTCGTTTAACTTTGAAGTGACGCTTCGCGGCAGTGCAGATTTCCCCTGAACTGTTTTTTCATGGTTTAGCTCATTGCACTGTAGTGAAACCATCTTTGCAGAGGGTTATGTGCAGACTAATATACACCTATTCGTTCATTTCAAATACTTCGAAGTCTTCAAGGAAGGAAGTGTACATTTAAGGGCTTGTTTTCTTTGTCAGACAAAATATTAATAAGATCTAACAGGCAATAACAAATTTGTCAAACAGACAATTTTCAGTAGTTTAAATTCGAAATGAAGAGAGTTCAAATATTTGAAGCATTCTGATAGTATTTTTACAAGCCTAAATAAAAGTGTTCACAAAGTTTCCAATACAGTAAGCACACCTTGTACATCAGTGATAACATGAATGCGATAACTGTGCCAGGACAATTGTCTGTAAACATCAATTAATGCTAAAAGAACATTACTATTCATCTTGACAACCAAATGACTCACTGTTTGAAGAGTTTTATTATGTCATGCACTTGACAGGCACAATAGTAATAGCATAGAAGGTTCTTGAGAAAACAAATGAACAAGCAAATAAGTCATGTATCCTAACCTTGAGCTTTCTTTGCCCAGCAGCCGACTCTTTGTACTCTGACTTTGCAACAAAGTAAAGCTCAGCCCCTTCAAGCCACGTCTTGATGGCTGTCAGGTGGTTACAGAAGCGGGAGAACATCTTCTCCACATCCTTGGGACCCTACAAGAGTGGTTGCATCGAGAAGATAAGCCTACAATCCTATGCATGCATAACGTGAAGTGTGAACAGTTGCACAAGGTCTCAAAGGTTAAGTTAACAGCATATACAACCATATATAACTGCAACACCACACACCACAACATGATTACTACCACCAAAAAGACACAACGGACACCTTCTAGAAACTTAAGGATCAATAAGATATAATAATAATCATAATGCCACCTGAAAAACAAAAATAAGACAGTTGAAGCCATAGGCTAAAGAGAGAAAGGAAACATTACACACGTTATTATCCATCTTATAAAATGGATTGATTGATCAAAACAACTTCATTTTTATTGAAAGAACTTTACTTTTATAAAAAAATATTGGTATCAATAAGGCTTACAGTCAGGCAGTTGAGAAATCCGAGAAGCTTACTTCCTCACTAATAAGCAGCATGACCAGACTGGCAGTATCACCACCCACAGTTTTACATACGGTCATTGCACCATGAAAAACCACTTCATAAATTTACAAAAAACGTTCTTTGCAAACTTTCCCTGATGCATATGTGGCTTTCTTTCAAAACTCAGACAAATAATGAACAAGCTTAATGTGCTACTTAAAATATGCCCTAAGCTTCAGGCAACAGAATCCAGGCCTAACATGACTGGGAAAGAACAAATAGGCTGTGCTTGTGTCAGCATTCATACGCAGTAAAAAACTGTTCTATTGTTTTATCTATCATACTGTATAATTCAATGCAGTTATTTCAAATCTTCTGCAGAACTTACTCAAGCTCGAACATGATGTGTCAATCACTTTGACGCACAGTGAGTGTTGACAGCAACTACTCTCACCTAGCTAACATTTGGCTTTAAAAAATGGCTACATTGCACTATAAGGAAACCAACGACTCAACCTACAAGTTTCCATACTATTTCTTGTAAGTCCATACCATTTCCTGTAGGTCATGACGACATGCCGGACAAGGAACTCGGGCACAACTCTTTAGGCAGAGTTAATTATTCGGCAATAAGAGCTTGGTCGCTGAATAACGATATGAAGGTTGAGTTTTGTTCTCGTCTTTTTTCATGCCAGAATTTCAGTGTAGATACATCAGTGCACCACGACATGTTCCAAGGAGTACTTTCCGATATTTGAGCCATCGTAGCAGAGTAAAAGTTCTCAAGAGTTGCTGAGCTCTGTATTTTTTTCCTTTAGAAAAACATGTTTAGTTCTTTACTAATGAAAAAGTGACACCCCACACGGTAAAAATGCAAGCTGTAACAACAAACTGTCAAGAAAACTATAAGGTGGCAGTGCTGTTTGCTTTTCATCATTGTGTCTGTTCTAGTTCACTAGCTGTTCCAACTAACTAGGACTTTCCCTCATGGTAAGAATAGATGGTTTCTTTTTTTTTTTTGGTTGAGTAGAAGCTGGTATAGTAGTACAGCAGCAGAAGCTTTGAAATAATAAGAACATAGTTCAATATAGTTTCATTGTCAAGTGTTGGATTGAACATTTGTTACTGTGCAGCTAAGACTCAGCTGGATCTGCAAAGAAGAGCACTCACCAGGGGCACCTTCTTGCGCAGGTTGTCGTCAATAGCTGCCCACTGCTGCTTGAGGGTGCGCACAGTGTTGGCCAGTGAGGGAAGCTTGTGGCCAGGCGCAAGCGCTGTCAATCCCTCACTGAGCTCGACAATGGCGATCATCGAAGGCTTCTTCTGTTCCAACTCGCGCAGCTTTCCCTGTGGAAGTGAAAGTGAATAAAGACCGGGGAGCAACATTATATGGGCTTCTTGACTGCCTGGATGCAGCCATCCGTATTGTTGAAATGCTTGAACAATGACACCTTAACCACCTTGGCACTTTGAAGGTGCCACCAACTTTCATTTTTATCACAAGGCATGCAGAAGCACAGGAGTTTGACTTGAAGTAGCAGCCACAGTCGGATTAGAATGCCTAGGAGCCCTGTCCGCCCCAGTCTGGACAGTGAGCCATCTGCTCCCTTGCATTTGGGGAATGATTGTCTCGTACAACAAGTCATAATGCTGACCAAATGTCAACCACATGATCTGTACAATAACTGACAGTTGAAAAACTAGGCAAGCATGAAGTGGTTGTATTCAAGAAGCTTACTGTACAGTAGACTCTCAGTAAACCAGTCTCCTCAATAGAACTGCTTCTCAAATAGAACAACTGATTCTAATAAAATTGGTTTTGTATATAAATTTTGCATACCTATTCATCGCTCAGTAATTGAACTCCAGTTAACACATTTTCCTGGTCCCTTCAGGTACTGTTTAATGAAAGTCTATTGTGTCTGATCGCTTGTCTGTATCTTAGCTGTCCCTGTCTACGTATCACGTTCGTATTTCAAACCGTCATGAGCCACCAAACCGCCCAATCAACCATTATGACAAATGATAACTAAGGGCAGCGATTTGTGGCCAAGTTGCTCTATCGTATTTAATTATATATACTTGCCTACAATGTTTTATCAATTATGACTACTGAAGCCTAAAAACACTAGCCAGGATCGCTAAGTTTCTACAAGAACAGAAGACTAACTATAGCTTTCCTTGCAGTCTCTTCTGCAAGAATTGAAATACTAAATATTTATGCTTCATTTATTTCAAACAATTAGCAGTGGTTTGTCTTTACTTGATAGCAAGTGGTAGGAGCACAACAACTGTGAAAGGTTCCACTAGCTCAAGCACAATGTATTTACCTCCGCAAACTTGAGTTCGTCTTCGGTATTAGGAGGCTTCTCGATTTCTTCCATAGTTGCAGCCATCCAGTTGTGAAGGGCGATCATCTCTTTCTGGAGACACCGAGCTAGGCGTACAGCTTGCTCAAGAACACTCTTGCTCTCTGTCACCTAATTGAGCATGTTAAATTGTGTTTTTAATCAATGCAAGGACAAAACTGGAAATCAAAGCCCAAAGTTTGCAATTAGATTCAGTACTGATAAGCAATAAATGCTGCGATATAAGTTAGAGGCATAGGCCAAGTGCACTCAATATAAGAGTAAATGTTACACCACACGCAGAGACATTGAGAGCTTGAGACTAATTCTTATGCCCTTGCATTCATTTTTACCCGTCAACCTTCATGAAAGATGGAAGTAGAACAGTACCTAGGAACCCTGAAGTTACAAAGCAACATAACAGTATGCCTATATGATAAGGCACCTGGTCTCTTATGAAGACAGCCCACTGAACACCAGATCCACAAATTGTACACAGAAAAGCGCTTTTATCATATTCATCGGCAGACAATATGAACAATTGATTGATTGATTGATATGTGGGGTTTAACGTCCCAAAACCACTATATGATTATGAGAGACGCCGTAGTGGAGGGCTCCGGAAATTTAGACCACCTGGGGGTCTTTAACGTGCACCCAAATCTGAGCACACGGGCCTACAACATTTCCGCCTCCATCGGAAATGCAGCCGCCGCAGCCGGGATTCGAACCCGCGCCCTGCGGGTCAGTAGCCGAGTACCTTAGCCACTAGACCACCGCGGCGGGGCAATATGAACAATTATATACAGTAAAACTAACACCCACATAGGCGATTCATTATAGAATGAATATTTATATTATAAATTTTACATTTATATAAGTTGACTGAAAGCAGTGGCTTCGATTGGCCACCGCAAATTTCTTAACATGCCCCTGAATTTAAGTTCATAAGCATTTTTGCCTTCTGCCCAATCACAATGAATACTCTGCAGCCGGAAATTGAACACACAACCTTTTTCTAAGCAGCGGAATGCCACAGCCAGTTACACACAATCGCCAGTTACGTGTACACACATTAGTAATCAGAGTTGCAAATGTCTCCATGTAAATGGCAAAAAATAGAAAAAAAGCAGATTAAAAGCACTGATGAAATATTCATAGTGGTGCCTCTACAAAACACCCCAATTTCTTATTTACGGTCACCACAGAAGGAATGCAGGTCTGTGTATAAAGCGTTTCCCGAGGCAATGTCGTAGTACCACAGCTACCTGCACAGACATCGACGTCAATGTTCACAGTCTTAGAAAAACAAGAAATCAAGCAGCAATGATGACCTTTGCGCCTAGCTGGTTGTAGTGACTCTTAATGCTGTCCAACTTCTGGTTGAGGTTGCAGGGCCTTTCTGCTTCGCCACTCTCAGCCAGCTGCCGGCCCTGGCGAATCACTTGCTCCACTTCACTCTTCACTTCACTCAGGGTCTTGTAGAAATGCTGCACACCAGAAGCGATCATTTAGGAGCGCGCATACTTCACATTATGTGAGCAAGGTTTTCAGGAGCCTAAGAATGCAATCGTTCTTGCGTATGCTTTGACCCCTCACAATGTTTTGCTATGTCTATCATTTCCATTGTTTCAGTAGAGCAACTTGTGACAAATGTTCGTGTAAAAGCCGGAATAGCAGACAGCAAAAAAGTTACACCATTTGTGCCTGGCCAAGGACTGCATTCAACAGCCTAGCGCAGGTTCACCTGGATGCTATCCTAAACCACTTAAAATAAGCAAATACGTGGAAGCATAGAAGCTGTAGTTTCATAGAAAGCATAGAAGCTGCATCCTGCTTCTCAGCAGGCTTTCTAAAATGAGGAATTTCATTTCGGCCAATACATGCATTGCTACTTTACTTATTGCAGGAAACCTATGCGTATCAATACTTTTTTTTATTCAAACTGACTAGTAATTAATTTTCTGTACCCCAAAATTTCTTTTTCAGTGAAATAAGAAGTTATAAATACCATGCACTGCACTAGTTGGTCTTGAATCTTGTCGGGACTCTCAGAGTTGAGGTCGAGTTGCTTCATCCCTTGCTCCACTTCTGTTAGCAACTTGCTAATTCGTCCCAGCTTAGGTTCAAAGTCATTGGGGCACTGAAACCTCTTGAGCTTCGCAGATATGTCCTCGAATTTCATCTACATTTGGTAAAAAAAATGGACAAAATGAGCAGTATTAGCTGTCATCACAAATCTGCAGGCCCACTGACAAATGATTAAGCAATGGACATAGAGGTACTGAAGTTGCCAGCTCCAAAGCACTCATTTTGTTGATTATGTCCTCTCTACAATTAGACAAAAATAAAGCTACTGACAGCATGCACATTAGAATCAATTAAAACAGAAAAACTCCTGGCAACAACACAAGGCAGCTGTCTTTCAGAGATAAATCCTAAGTTACAGTAAGTGCAAGCAAAACCTAATGTGTGGACACTTGACAGTTTTGCGTTGCCTAATGTGGAGGTTAATAACGCAACTCAAAGCAAATAAAAAGGAGTTATAGGAAAGAGCATCAATGTATGCTGCCATTCAAGTTTCTATCTGTTAAATTTTTAACAAAGAACAACATAAATTAGGTGACTAAAATTTAAAATTTCCTTATTTAAGAACATAAGGTAAATAAATAGTCAAACAGTGCTACTTTCACTATAAGTATTCTTGCTTACAATAGGACAGTGTTCTTTTCAGCTTTAGAAATCACATCAGCATGTGATTTTTCAAACACATATTATCAGTCTGATTATTACAGCTATTGCCATCAATTACTACCACAGTAACAAAAGTTTGGTGCATACCTTCATGAGCTGCAGCTGTTCATCTAGGCGTAATGCAGCTTCAACCCTATTTTGTGCGTGATATGCATCAACCTGGTCACTCAAACTTTTTAACTGTTCCTCTTTCTCAAGGAATTCCTGCTTGAATTGCTGTAAGAGTTTATCCAAAAAATACAGAATATCAGGAGAAAAGTGAGGCCTGAAGGGGCTGAATTCATTGAACAAGGCCAGCCAACATTACAACAAGGGAATTTGGCCCTGGACCAGATCCCATGTTAAAATATTGATGCAAGTGAAATTTCTTGTTTGATGATTTCTTATCACTGTAATAGAATACAAAATACTAGTTTATAGTTTACATATGATATACCCCACATAAACATCAACATAATCATCAAGTAAATAGGTTTGCCTTCAGCCTGAAATCTATCAAGAGTCAAGTTGAACAACAGCCGCATAGCCAAGAGCATTGTTAGGAAGTGGCTCATCCTTGACCCGCAGTGGGGTTCGGGAAGCGGGCAATGGCGAAGTGTATTTTTGTGCTTTTCACATGGTAGACAGAAAAGGCACACGCCAAGTTAGAAAACTCCAAACTATACCCATGGCCAACACCAACTGGTCATACCCTCGCTTTGCTCTAAGTATTTTAACAAATAGCCGCACCCTTATTTTTGCTGCTGAAGCAAAGACTTTTTTTTCTAACTGTGCACTGCAAAGTATGCATCACACTGATGAGAGGCAACGCATACCAAGTGAACATCAGACAAAGCAAACAGACAAATGCTGTCGTCATTCTTATATGCTTTCTATCTGCAATTTGTGTGTGTGACACATGCAAATGCTGAAAAACTCACAGCCAACTCGTCAGGCACATCCTGCGCGCTGATGTCATTGTCCAGCCTGTTCTGCAACGCATTATCCATGTGGTTCATCCAACTCTGGACGTTCAGAATCTGTCGTTCACACTTCTGGTACTGAACGATGCTGTTCTCGAGAACTTGCTGCCGCTCGCTGCCCTGACGCGTCAGGTCTTCCCAGCGCTTCACCACCGACTCCGCTTCATGTTGGACTAGTCCGACTAGCACATCTTTCTCCACAAGCTCCTCACAGAGCTGCTGTATCTTGGGAATTCGGTCGTGCGGGTGGTTGCGCAGAAAGTTCTCTAAATCCTGAAATTTTTCAAGATGTTGTTGAATACTGTCATGAAAGTATGATCATCTAAAAAGTAAATAAGTGCCAAATCATTGTACAAAGCACACATACATATCGTGAAGTGACAATAATTTTCAGACAATGAAAATCGGTGACCAGGTTTATTAAGAGCAGCCAATTCCAAGGATTGCCTTTTTTTCCATGTTTTACATTGACTAGTTCAACACTTGCTGTTTTTTGGAGATCGAAACAAGTTCCCAAAAACACTGACCAATGAAACCATGACAACTGGTCTTTACTGATCGAAAAAATTCCAACAGCACATCTTATTGTAATTTTTACTTTTTTTAAGGTTGCCTCACAACATAGTTTATAAAACAACTTATAAATATTAATGAAACCACTGTGTTTGTTTTTACTGAGATAACATTTTGTTGAAGTGGCTTTTTTTTTTGTAGAAAGCCCTAGCGCTTCACAAAAAGCAATGTAACTACAAGGTGAGCCAGCTAGTGTGCTTACGTCAAGGTTCTCAGAAATCTCCTCAGCATCAGCAGCTGACTCAGGTGACCGTTTCAGTTTCTTCTCCAATCTGTCCAGCCAGTCATTCTCCAGCATGATGGCATCTAGAAGACGCATACAAGTGCGGACATCACAAAATGATAGGATTATTCACAAAAAATAACAATTAAACAATCAGAATTGAATACACTAAAGACATATTAAAAATTCTTGTTTGCATATACTTCAACTTAGCTCGTCTAATGCAATTACGTCCCTTTTGTCTCTACAGGAGTTTTAAACAAAACATAAAAAATGTTCAACTCAAAAACGAAAAATTTTTTAGTTTTTTTTTCCCCATCTCCATTTTGCATCGTCAAGCAGATATTATCAAGTGAATGGTTTTTATGCTGTACATATTTTAAAGTGAACCCAAATGTTTTATGAAGTGTGGAAACTTGGGCAAGTTGGTAGGACATAACTGAATAAACGAACAGCGCAATTTAAAAGTAGTTACAGTGCAACTACAGAAGCAAATTCTTTCTATTCTTGTATCTTTGCTTCCATAGTTAGACTGTAACTACTTTTAAGTTGCGCTGTTTGTATATTCACCAAATGTTTTAATCTGAGTGTCAGTGAAATGAAATATTTTTCTCAGACTCAACCAAGAAACATCTTTAAGAAGCGCGCCAAGTTGGTTCTAATCACCACATAAACACTTTTAACCATTCCGTTATTGTGTATATTTCCTTTACTTTCGTGACACCTGCCATTTAAGCGAAGGGTCGATAATTTTCTCAGTTTTCATGAAAAATTGTTCAACAGCTTAGCTTCAGCTTGCCTGAAGGTTAACCTCAAATGTGTCTGCTTTGGTAGTGGAAGCCTGCTAGTTCTGAACTACAAGTGGAAGCCAACTAGTGGCTGAGAATCTGAACGTGACCATACAAAAGATATACAAGACTCACTTCGAAATTCAGCATAGTTTGTTCCCGACTGCTTCAGAGACTGGTGGTACTTGGTTATTTTTTCTTGCACGTCCGCCCAAAGCTTAGTGAGTGCGGCCACGTCACGTCGTGCTTCTTCGGCGCTCTTAGTCTTGTTCCCTTGAGCAAGCTTTGTGCCAGCTTCTTTCAGCCTGTTGTACTCAGAAAGCTTAGAGTCCAGTTTGTCCTTACATGCCTGTACAGAAAGAATTATTGTCACTGTAGTATCAATTTAATGCTTAGAGAGCTTCGGTTATCCAGAAAGATCGTGAAACTTTAAGCAAACAGCTTTAAGTAGATCGAGAAAGCACAGTCAAAGGAGGCAAATGTGATTGTTAAACTGCTCTGCTATAGGTCTTTACATGCCAGCTGTAACATCGAATAAAGGATAAAATGTGCCAGATAAAATTATTTTATATACATCATGCTACAGCTGCAAGAAAACTAGTCATCACAAAAACTTAATTGTGACACTTAAGAATGTTGAAAAAAAGCTTTTCCTTAATATTGGGTCACTAAGCAATCACCACTGCTATCTGTAATAGCACTTTGTAAAATAGAACTGCAAACAAAGCCAATAATTACAGCTGTTAGAGTTTTACATTCCAAGACCACCATATGAATATGAAAGATACCATAGAAAAGGTCGAACGTGCACCAAAATCTAATCACACGAGCCTCTAGCACTTCACCTTCATCAAAATGCTGTGGCTCGATCCTGAAACTTCGGCAGGCTGTGACTCGATCCTGCAACCTTTGGGTCAGCAGCCGTGCAACCACCACCCCTAAACCACAGTGGCTGGTGCAAACAAAACAGACTAGCTTGCCACAATATGGATATTTATTTTGATCATCAGAAAAGTAATCAGGATGAATTTGAGCTGCTTAAAAGATCAGCGCAATATGAAGAGCAGAAGTTCATACCTGTAACTTCCTGATTCTAGCCTGCAATTCTGAAGCAGTGTTGATAGGTTTCTCTCGTGGTATCTCCATATCTAGCTCCCGTAACCACTCACATAAGTCAGCAATACCTTCAGAGGCACACCGGCCTGTCTGAACAGCTCTCTTTAGGGTAGCATTTTTCTTTCGAGCCATTTCTATCACCTGCAAGAAAAAAGAAAGAGAACGGTTCCTTGTATCTTCTCCCACGCCAACTTCCTATTCAAGAACTATGGTTATGTCAAAAACTACATTGCATGTCAGAGGTAAATGACAAAAATGACAAATACTGCTTGGAAGATACAATGATGCAATCATAGCTGTTTGCAAGTTGTCAAAAAGTAATTAACATTTGATGAACCTTATGTAAACTTGTTCAGCGCTGTGAGGTACTACGAATTTTTTCCACCAGCTTTAGTCCAAATGACAGCTAATATAATCCAGGCACCTATCTATTTAACCAATGTACCAAACATTTAATCCCAGTGCCACCATATCTAATCCAAATAGCAGTGCAAACGAGCCTTGCAACAGCTAGTTTAATGAAAATGCCAACATGTTTAACGGAAGCACTGAACAGTTTCTGCACAATGGACTGCATGCGTTATAACAACAGATCAAAACAGCACACCAATGCAGCACACTCTAAGAAGTGCAATGAACTGACCTTATCCCACTGCCTGTTGAGATCATCAACCTGCCTCTGCAGAGTATCACCAAACTCCTCTTCTGAATCTTGTATCAGACCCTCAGCAACCAAGTTAATATTGTCAACGTTGTTTTGTATAGTCCCAACGTCATCATCAAGAGCCTGGGGAAAAAAATATGAGCATGTAATAGCCAGCGTTTTAAGTCCAGTGCTAAAGGCCTCCTATTAAAACACAGCTTTAAAAAATCTTGAGACTCCCCCATTCAAGAGCATGACAAGAGACTAGTTATCCTAATACGATGCACAGATAACATCTTAGTCAGAGACCAGGCAGATCACTTACAACAAGCCATCTTTTTTTGTTAGAGGTTGTTCGGATACGGAGTGAGAGATTGGTCGTAATCACGATATGTACAAAATACAACTGAGCTTTGACGGAGTGGTTAACTTGAGATTCACATTAAAGCATGTCTCTATGACATCAGCAACTAGCTCTTGATTAGCCCACAATGGTCAATGTATTCTGTGGTGAAACTTCAATCAATTAAATTTACACTGAGGTTTCATTTATGTTACTATTCATACTACCCTAATGGCAACTAATTTAGTTTGTTTCTCTAAGAATTTTCATGTCACGATCACGATCATTTGCCGTAAAAATTAGTAAATATTAACAAACAAACAAACAAAACCCCGTGTATATGCAGCTTGAAAAAAAATGTAACTGACATTTGACTGCTCCAATTGTGCCTCAAGCTTTTCCAGGTCACCGTATGCAACATCTTCATCCTCAAGAAATGAAGTCACATCGTTGATCCACTTCTGGACACTTTTCATTTCCTCCTGATGAAAAAAAAAAAAATGAATTGCACAACCAAATACAGCAAGCACACGATTCAAAAGAGCCGTACATTTGAAACTAACGCCTATAAGAGTAACGGCCGTCACCTTGTGTTTAATGCAATATGGAGCAAAGATTACACTAATTACAAGTGCTACACTACAATGCAAAATTGATTGATTGATTGATATGTGGAGTTTAATGCCCCTAAACCACCATATGATCGTGAGAGACGCCGTAGTGGAGGGCTTTGGAACTTTCGACCACCTGGGGTTCTTTAACGTGAACCCAAATCTGAGCACACGGGCCTACAGCAATTCTACCTCCATCCGATATGCAGCCGCTGCAGCCGAGATTCAATCCCGCGACCTGCGGGTTACAATGCAGAGTGGGTTAGTCGTTTCTCTCCCACTGACGAGTGTTTTGGTCGTTAGATTCTGAACCAAAATGACTGATGATGACTATACTCGTCATCAACACAAATGTGCCACACCAGGAAACTATGACTACACTCATCATAGTTGTGTTCCTTGATGGTAGATGAGCACACTAGTCCATGTTGTGCCCTTTTTACCTCAGCTTTCATTGCATTGACATTTTTTATTGGAGTATCCCGTGGGGAAGACACTTTTGAGCTATCTTTCTTTTGGCGCAATCAATGAAATAGAACACTAGAGCTGTGTGAATAGCAAAATTTTGGGGGGTGAACCGAACTTGAATATGGAAGTATGAGTATGAATCGAATAGAATATTTGTTTAATATGTCTAATATTTCAAGAATATTTTTTGAATACTTTGAGGCAAAACTGAAGAAAAATGTTGGAGCAGATTTCAAAGCCTATTCTTATGAGATAGCAACATGAACGTGTTTCTTTTGGCTAGGTTTATAAAGCATTGGCGGGCAGTGTTTCATAGTTGTTTTATCATGAATGAGGCAATGAAGAGGCCGCATCGTCTTTAAGTGCATGGTTTGGCACAACCATGGAGTTTCATACAATAATACCTAGAGGGGAATCTGGCGCTAGTGTCTATGCGGGCTCCTTCAGCGGCGCTTGTACCCGCATGGGAATGATGGGAAGTACAGGCTTCGGATCTGCTTTGAATGGATTACGTTCTTGAAATTCACGATGCTTGTTCGCCGAGTGTAAAACAAAGTGATATTAAATTATGTCTAATTGAAACTTGCTTCATTTTTTTGTACTCAAACTTTAATACAAAAGGTTTTTGTGACAAGGCGGTAGAAGTGATACCTGGACGAATTTAACCACCAGGGTATGCATTTCTCTGCCATTGCGTTACAGATTTGGCATCAAGATGTAATGAATTATTCTTTACAACATTACAAAACAAACATTCTTGTTTTGCCCTCAAAAGTACGCAACATCTATTTATGAAAATAACAGCACAGTATTAGGTGTCGAACACATAGCGTTTTGTCTGCTGCGATGCCAGGTGCGTCTGTTCAAGTGGTCTGCCCCTTTCAACGAGTTTTGGCAAGACGCACCAACAACAAACGTGAACACGATGTAATATCCTGCATGGGCATGGAACGCTACAACTATGCGCAGCAGTGAGTGGACGACGCTGCGCTTAAACTGTCAAACACGACTTATACAGCTCCAGTGTTGCAGTAAATTGAGAGGCCTAGCAGTTTTCAGCTTCTTTGAACAACAAAGGCAGCTTCAATCGTTTCCACCCACACCACTACCCACTCTATGCGAAGAACGAAACTGAAACTGTAGAAAAAGATTCGTAGACAGTTCACTGACTAATGCTATCCAATCCGAAGCCTGTATTTCCCATAATTACCATGAGGGTGCACGATTGCAGCGCCAGATTCCTCTCTAGGTATTATTGTATGAAACTCTATAGGTGCAACCAAAGTGTTGCCGACAACAGTTTGCAGGTGAAAGGCACAGATGCTGTTCCCTTAGCCTCTCCTCCTCTTTCAATGTCTGTGGACAGCAGACGAGGGTGTGCTTGCCTTGCGCACGCAGTTCTAAATCTGCCTTGTAGACATGAATATACAAGTTAATCTAAAATTTTGGGTGCTAAAAATCTTCAACTAGTTTTTTCGGACTTGCTGCCCAAATTCCAGGTCCAAAACAGCATTAATTGAGCCCCCACCTCTGCACATCTATCATTTTATATTAAAACCAACATTTTCTTAAGTCAATACTAGGCTTGTGCGAATATTCCAATGCTTCGAATATTCGAACAAATAGTTGAGTATTCAAATTCACTTCGAGTTTAAAATATCGGATATTTTCGAAGTATTCGCAATGAACGAATAGACGTATATTAATACCCATGTCACCCCTGTAAAGGTGGTTTCACAGCAATGTAGGAGTGCTGAACAGTAAAAACACCTACACCAAAAAAAAGTTTGCTTCGTCGTAAAGCCCCCCTCAACTTTAAAGGGGCCCTGCCACACCAATTGAACATGGTCAGAAAACGCTGTCGATTGGTAGTCGAGGCTTCCGAAAACACGCGAGGCGAATATTGTAGCGCAGTACATGGCCTGTAATTCCCAATAAATTTTCAAAGCTAAACGTTGCTTTCTTTCCTCGGCAAATGACACTACAAGCTCAAAAGTCACTAGTCACAGGCTCTGGTCACAGGCATTGGCTGATTTGAGCATGGCGGCCGCCGCTTGTTCACGAGTACGTGCACAATCGCGCTGAAAAGCCGCGTATTCGAAGAAAAAAAAAAGTTGCTCAAGGTCCAGAGGTGCGTGTGGAGTATTTTCTTTCGCCGTGCCATTCCTCCCTGCTTAGCTTCCACCTATTTTGTCGGGACAAGAAGAGAGAATGCATTTGCAGCGAGCGACAAATTTTTGGAACTCCGCTCGTACTGGACTGTTTTTAGAAACTTGGCGGCAGTATACTTGTGAGGCAACAAGCTTGTTTACTGGCTCCATGGCTACTTGAAAAAGTGTTGCAGGGCCCCTTTAATGGACCATGTTACCCTCAAATAAATTCTTCATTTTATTAGGCTTGTTATGATGGCTTATATGATCCAAGTATAATAAATTTTAAAACATTAAGTATCTTACAGGTTATCACTCGCATCCAACCGAAACTACTACTCAATATTGTTTCGACTCCCTTTGAACGAAAAAAAAATAGGCATTTGGATAGAGCCCCTATTTTAATTCAAAAGAAATATTGTGCAGGTTAGTTGGGTCATGATAAATATTTCTTTTTTTTATAAGTCATACATACTATTCGAATTCAATTCAAAAATTCGATCAAAATCACTTTTCGCTTCGAATTCTCTTCAAACCAAAAATTCCCAATTTGCACAAGCCTAGTCGAAACACTTGCGACTGTAGCAGAGCCTGAAAGCCAGCTTCTCCGCCGTGCGAGAATGTAATGGGGCAAAGCATATTAAACATCTGAAGGGCTACTGTCAATCGGATCTTGGCTGTATTTGTGTTTGTGAAGTTCGAATAGTGAAATTCTACTGCGAATCAAATCGAATCGAATAGCAAACATTACAAAATTATTCGAAATTTAGAATATTTGTACACTATTATAAAAAATGCTTCTAGCAACTCACGTGTTGCCCAATACTTGCTTTTACCCAGGACAGTCACCTCATAAAATCGTGATTTGCATTTGCAGATTTTGCAGTGCACGGAAAGATACACAAGTTAGTTTTCTTTCTTTAGATTTTGGCCATATTCCCTCACGATTTCATGAGGTGACGATGCTGGTTAGAGAAAGTGTCAGACAGCATGCAAGTTACTATAATTACTTATATCAGCAATCTGGGTGAAGAATGTTTACGTGAGGGACACATGTACACAGCTATGGTCTCCTGAGATTAGCTTCTTTGTGAGGAGGGTAGTTTAGGTAGTGTTGGCTATGCTGCACATGTGCAAGTCACTTTTATGTACCGCTCTGTTTCATGCTTGAAATGAATCAGTCTAGGTGTCATTCATGTCGTCGTGTTCGTGTCTCTGTTGCGTGTGTGGTGTTTACTTGCAGCAAAATGTCCATACAGCAAGTATACCATATTAGCCTGAACAAGAATCTGAACAATATGCGTCTATTACAGACACACCTCTTTGGTGCGCTTACCTGGAATCGCTTGAGCACCAACATGTGCTTTCGGCAGAAACTGGAGCCGCTCCTTGAGCAAAGAGCGAACCCGGCTCCCAGCAGTTGCCCAGACTGTGCAGCTTGTCTCGCAGCTCACGAGTCCACGGTGCATCGGGCTCCTTGCGCAACATCTCCTTTCCAGTGCTGGTGACGTATTGCAAGTTGGACTCTTCTTCGTCAACAGTTTCTTGCATTTCCTGCAGGAAAGATAAAAGGAGAGAGAGATTCACACTCACGAATATCTCTTTAGTTCAGCACAAATAGCTATAAAAATGAGCAGCATGTCTATCCATCCGATGAAAAACTCACAAGAATGCAGATCATTATGCCCCACCGCATTCAAACTTACTCTTTTCCTAGCAGTTCAACGGCTGGCACTTAAAACATGCAGATTGGTTAGCCCAATCTTCCACAATCAAAGCTCACAAGAATCGCCACACAAAATGAAATGTTTCAGGCTGTGATCACTTTTCTCCCCCATAAAACACTCCTGCCAGGTGCCTCACAATAAGTGGGGAAGGAGCTCATTAAAACTGCCATTAAGGACAAACAATGAGCCATTGCCGCCTGGGCCTGAAGGGTCACTTGCCCAATGGGAACCACCACGAGAACCACGTCATCCCCGTAAATAACGATGACTTTTCCTCCATAACTTCATGAATGATGAACTTGATAAATCCCTTGAAATGATGAACTGATAAATCCCTTGATAATATATTTATGTGACCAAGGTATACACACTCCTTTTAATAAAACAAGGCTGGGAATTATGAAATAGCTGCCAATCATAGTAAAGTTTGCATTTCGTGCTGACCTTGTATTTCTGTAGCTGGTCTTCCATGACCTCCATTGTGTTCACATGGAACTTTTCAGATTCTAGGGCCTGCTGGACACTCCGGATCCATGCTTCCAGTGCATCCACTGCTTCTAGCAACTTCGGAGGTGGAGCCCGTTCCAAGGATCGGCTAAGCTGTGCTTCCAGATCAGCTGCAAAAATCGCAGGACTGGCAAGTTATATGGTTGTCACAGAAGATCTCCACAAATAAGTCATGCAAAATGAGCATCAACTTATCATGGCAAAGGTGTCACAAGTGCACACAGGCACTCAAAACACTGGTAGAACTTGCTGTTGGGCTAGTTGGTGCATGTTTGAATTCAATAGCCAATTTCATGCCAAAATCACGATCTGTCGAAATCACGTCCTGCCTATGTGTTTTCTTTATTTGTGTGGTCGTGAATTTGGGGCGAAATTGACTATTGAATTCAAACACTCAAAACACAATTAAGCACACATAATTTAATTGAAACTAAACTATCCACAAAAACAAGGGCTACAGTGAAACATCAATCAATCAATCAATCATATTTTTACTTCAGTTTGAGCATACAAACTCAGGATGGCAATACAATGCCATGGAGTAGGGATTGGCTGTATATTTAGGATATTTAGCAGTAATGGCCTATAACAGCACAAAGCTAAGAGGTTTTACCATAGCAACAGTTTTGCCTTAGCTGAATGATATAGTTTGGCACTTCCTTGCAGTAAAATTATTTTTCTTTTAACAGAAAATACCGTATTTATTCGCGTAATAAACACACTTTTTTTTGTAAAAAAATCTGAGCAAAGTTTGAAGCGCATTTATTATACGGGGCAAATTTTACGAAAACTTTTTCAGAAGGAGCAAAAATTCAGTAATGCAAAAAAAAAAAAGAGAAGTTATGTCACTTAGCCTTTTGCAATTTACATATGTGTACACTGTTTGGAAACAGCTTCTTGGTTGCACTTCACTCATCTTCGGTGGTTGAAGGCGCTATCTTCTGCAAGCTGTCCCTGCGCCACCTCGCACTCCGCAAAAGCGTTTTGTAGCTTTCTCGCAATTATGATCGCAACAGTGGTACCTGCTGTGATCTCGAGGGGCACCCAGAAGTATATGCTACCACGCTACGAGGCACTTTGCCAGCTTCGTGGCAGCCTCTCATGACTACCGCGACGCCACCATTCACATTGCAGCAAGCTACTACTGAAACATCAAAACGAACCATCGGCGACAAGATTAACATCAAAATACGGCTACTGCCTCGCTGTCCATATGAAAAGTTACTATAGAAAAGGTAAGCTATATCTTGCGTTTCTTGAACTCTGCATAGATAACAAGCATGAAAAGCAAATTGCAACCGAAGTGAGAATCGGGGGTGCTACCATGTTGCCGAAATCGTCGCTATCTTTTTGGGCGACTAGCGATCCTTTCTGGTTTGCCAGAAACCTGCAATGCGATGGCGACAAATGGCCTTTCGCGACAACCATGGCGACAGCAAATTTTGACGTTGTCGCCCGAAAATTGGGTGCATGTGACTGGGCCTTAAAGTTTCGTATTTGCAGGAAACGGTTGGCGCGGGCAGTTTCATGACTTTTGCTCACTGTATGCTTGTCAGCTGTGATGTCTATACACTTGCAACATTCGTGAACCCCGCTGTGGCACACAGATAATTAAAAATAACAGGGGACGTGTCACGCACAGTGGGCGAAGGCGAGCCAAGGGGGTTGGGCATATAATAAAAAACAGAAGAGATCCAACGGGTTAGGAGGAGCCAGGTGTCGGTTAGCGGGACTGCAGCAGATGAATGTGGGGGCATGCATTTATTACGTAGGAGAAAAAAATCCAAATTTTGATGACTGAAGTTGTGAGTCCGTTTATTATGCGAGTGTGTTCATTATGCAAGTAAATATGGTAATAGGACGCAACTGCATAGACGGCTTTCATTTCGAAAGCTGGCAACATAACCACAGTTTCTACATATAAATAATTAATATAACAATGTTCTATAGTGCCCTTGCATATATCTGCCATTAGGCATGCAATTAACAAGGCAAGAATGGAGTGTTTTGGCTCTTTGTGGCCCCATTAGGGAATCTCACCGATCTTGGTCCCTGTGTCTGCCCACTGGTTGGTGAGCGCTTCAATTTGTTCAAACACTGGCTCAGTGCTTAGCGTGGGCACCCTGGCCTGAAGGGCTTGCCCTTTCTCCTGTAGCCTCTGCACCTTGTCCTCTTGGCTGTCCAGAGTCTTCAATCTCATCTGGAAACATTCGTAGAAGTTAGTCAGTAACACCTACTTCACGCTGACTTCGTATGCAATATGAAACTTTGCCTATGCAACAGCTGTCCTATTCCCAGCTCTAGTCCATATAATACAGAGACACTTCATTGCTACAATCAACTACGTATGCACAGCTATATTAGGAGGATAGTCGTCTGATCCATTTGTAAATAAGTAGTTGATTCAATGAAATGAATAGCCAAACTCTCTGCCTTAGCCTAATAGGGCCTCTGCCTTAATCAAAGGAAGATTCTGCAATTGCCAATCCATTTTTCAGAGCAGATCAAGGATTCTAATTGGCATATTATCTACCATAGATAGTAATATGCTTACAACTGATGCTGCACATTAATGCTAGATGCACCACTGATATAATGAGGTTGGAATGTACAACCTAACATAAATTTCAAGCAGAATGCTATGCTTTGTGCAACATACAGACACTCCTCAATGCTATACTATACTCTGTTTCCCCACTTTGGTTCAGCACTACCAAAGCTATGGGGTGTAAGTAAGCCACACACTTGAGCAGCAGAACATAGTCCCTAGATATAGTAAGTGCCTTAAAATTGACCGGGTTCACTAAAATTGGCGTTTGTCTAGTGTGTGTTATGTCATATCGATACAGGATATGTTAATTCTCCAGATTTAGTTCATATGCATGGAATTATTTTTTTTTTTTTTTTGCTTAACGCCGGTAGCTGTGTTTACAAATTAAAATGGCAGCGCCAATGCAGAAGTGACCGCCTGCTTCGATCCGAGCTTGCTGTTGCTACACGCCCACTGCACTGATAGCAACAAGTGAATGTTGAAATCCGACATCTATTTGTTTCATCTTACACTGAGGATAAAGCATCAGGTATGTTTTGTCATTATTAGCCAGATATGCTGCTTGCTCAGCCACACCTGCTAGGACTAATGCACCGAAGCAGTGCTTGGGCTGTGTTGCCAGAACGAGAATGCTGCATATCCAACGAACATGCAACATGGCACAGCGTTTCGTGTGCGTCAGATCTTCTTTTGATGGAAACAAAAAAAAGAGAAAAAGAAGCATTGCAGCAAAAGACACGAACAAATGCGTTGACAGAGAATAAACGGAAACCAGGAAAAGCGTCAGAGAGAAAGAGCCACAAAGTGAAGTTGTCCGCCGGCATGAGCATCTACCGATCTTCAGCAGAGCAACAAATCCCTGCTTCAAGTTCCTGGTGTGACTGCTTGTTTCGCAGTTATAATGTATTTTCAAGTTAACAAACCAGCCTTATCTGCCATAAGTGTGTATAAACAATTCGGCGAGCAGCCGATATGACGCGGATGAATACATGTGGAGGGACTAATCGCCCTTCTTATTGGCCGAGGAGTCCTGTAGCCTCCACAGTGCTGAAGGGAACTTCTAAAACATATTATAAGTACTTGTGTTCTATAATAGTTTGAAGAGAGTTAAGTAAAGGCATCTAAAGCGGCAGCACTAACTTTCAGTGAAAATGGTAAGTAGCTGACCTTGCACTGCTCCAGCAGTCTTCGCACGTCATCCGACTCACGCCGCTGTCGAGCCGTGGTCTGAGAGCTTTCCAGCCAGCGGCGATGCGAGGCCAACAGGCGTTCGAGTGCATCCCCTTCGGCCCGGAGCTCGCGGCAAGCATGCAGCCCTTCCAGGTGCTCCCTCTGCGACTGCACCATGTTTTGCACCTCGTGCCAGCGAACCTCGACTTCCCGCAGCACTCCCTGAACTTCCTTGGTCTGTTCCCCAACTGCACAGACAGTGAAGAATTCACTCTCATTATTTCATTAGTTTTTTCACTCATCACTTAATCACTCTCATTAAATTATCCCTGCAGCTACCATATCTCACCGCACTGGTCATGCACTGCAAGTTTTTTGCCCACGTAGTTGGACTAAATATTTTCAGCTTTTTCCCTCAAAAAGGCTGCAAAAGAGCAGAACGACCTTTCCACAATGTCATCACAATCACTTGTCTATCAATTTTTGTGCACTTTGAATTCAAAATTTTGCTATTTATTGAGCTCTAGAGAAAAGCAAGGGAACAATAAAGGAAAAGAAAAGTAAGCACTTAAGTGAACTTAGGCTCAGCAAACCAGTGCATATGGGTAGCGAAAAAAAAGGGGATAATTGTTGCGTCCCACACAACTACGCACCTGCATCAAGGCCTTCCACAACGTCTCTGCCTTGCTGAACAAGCTGGGCTACTTCTCCTTTGTTCATGGCAACTTGCCGTTCCACATCCTTAATAAAAAATAATGGCATAATGGTAATCATTCATGCAATATTAACTGCACAGTCAGACTAGTGATCTCATGAAACTATTAATAGTCCAAACTCCAAGACTTTCCTTTGAAATTAGCACTGAATTCATGTAAATAATCTGCTTCATTTGGCAACGAAACTAATATTGAAGCCCAGAACACTAAGTAACGTAGCAATGGTATCGTAACAGAATACAGGAAAGTTCATTCTGAAATCTTTTTTCAAACAAAGAAAGGAGAAGTGATTACAACTGAAGCACCTGTAAAATACTCAAGTGAAACCTGAAGAATCTGTAACTAGTGAATTGCTATTTAAGTTGAATAATACCTGCATAAAATTTTACTGCCTTTTTTTTAATGCAAGGCCCACAGTGAATTTCAGACATGCTTCACTTTATTTTTTTATTCAGTAAAGTTTCTTGTAGTGAAGCTCTATCAAAATTTATGAGCTTTTTTATTAGTACACTTACATGCATACATGCACATTCACTAAAGAGCTATCTATGCCTCACACTGAACTGTGACTGTACTTTGGCACCACAGTAACTGGCTGCCCGATACGTAATATGCAACGTAAACCAGTATCAGTACTATAAACAAGGTCATGCTTACCTCAGTAAGTGCTTGCAAGCTCTTCGACACTCATGCGTTCGAAACAGTGCCTTCAACTGCTCTTGTGAATGTGGTCGATCGGGATCGATCCCCAGTTGATTCTCGACTTTTTCGAGCCAGGCTGTGACGTTTTCCAGGGCTCTCTGCCATTCCTTCACTTTCCAGCTGTCCAGACGCCGCTTCTTGGCTCCAAAGTCAGAAAGGGGCTGAGACAATGTGAGAACACACATGGGCACACTGCTGTATAGGCACTATGGCACAGCCCAGAAGCACAGGCAGAAGTAGCACAAGCACTACAGCCCTACTACATAGTATTCAAACTTGATTTACAAGTAATGTCTAGAGCTTCGTGTCTTCAGTGCTTATGTTTCTTGGGACTAAGCTGGTGTTTTTCAAAGTTTTCTTTTCATAAGTTCTCAATTCTCTGAAGTTTGGCATTCGAATTTGCATTATTCTCAGCACTCATATATCTTAGAAAAAATATATGAACACGACAGCATCATAACACATTAGGTGTATTTTAGTGCTCTGAAATAGCTATCTTGTATCCAACAACACCCAGAACAACTTTTTGTTCCAGGTGTGAAGTCACCTCAAGCCATGTGTTCATAGAATTCTGTTTTATCTCACCCCTTATGAAACACTCTTCTTGATTTCACTCTAAGAGCAACAAAGTGGCATGAGAGAAAACAATTAGAGAAAGCACACACCTCTCTTCCCAATGCAGTCCTTGGAGAATTTCCATACGATTCCTTCTTGAAGAGGCTGTATGTAAAGGCCTTTTCTTCAGCTTCTGCCTTCACTTTCTGCTCTGTACTGCATTTGGCCAACTAAATGAAAGGAACAAAGCAGAAAAATAATCTGGAGAGCGGCAACAGGAACTTTTGCCAAGACATCGTAGAGCACCCACCATGTAACCGCCACAAATGAAACCCTTGAAGGACCTTCATTGCCTTTGTTACTACTATCTCCTTGCCAGCTCAGATTTATACTATCTAAAAGGTTGGCCCACTTCTTGTAACATGAAACAGGTTGCACTATAAATGCGCTATTTCCCATTGGCCAAGAATGCTAGCACATTAAAAGCATGCCCACCTTCCTGCTCAAGTTTTCCATCTTCTGAAGCAGCGCATCCCACCGATGTGTCAGTTGCTCCTGCTTACGAGTCAGCTCTATGGCAGCTAGTGATCCCTTGTCAAGGGTCTTCAACGCCTTCTGGACTTCGTTTGATATGTGATCAAGCCGCTTGTTGTGATACTCCAAGTCATGCTCCAATACCTGCAAAAGACAATCAGGTGTGTTGCACATGCAAGCATACGACATGTGGGACAAAAAAACAAATGCTTCATAATCACCAGCACCAAGGCACCACTACATTTATTAGTTTCCTTACTTATCCATGGTGTCACCCCAATAAACTAGCGCAAACAGAAACCTTGACAGCATTGATACTTTCCAAACTGTGGCTCCCAACACCACAGCAAGGATATTGCAAGTGATTTGCACTTGAAATTCTTTTTTTTTCGTGCAATAAAAATCAGCAGCACATCACCAAGAACAGCACCTGTAAAGGCACCCAACATCCATGATGTGTATTTCTAGCTCCTGCACACACCTTTGCCAATTACAATGCAACAATGCATGGCATTCACTATCAGCTTCCAGAAGTACCAATTCATTTCATCCCAAATCGTGCCACCAGAAAGGTTCAAGTAGGCCATTAAAACCTTGAAATACAAATCTTTTAGTGTACCAAATGCACTTCATTGAAAGCCTACCGTAGAACATGTACGGTTCAATGTGCAAAGCATAATTCAAATTTAAAAGTTGGTGTCATGGCTCATTATAGGTCACGCACCTGCAGGCACTTGACCATGTCCAGCACCTCCTGCACTGAGGCCCTCGAGGCATCGGCCTTCTCCATGCGGCAAAGCTGACCTTCCTGCATCAGTAGCCACTGCTGCAGCCTCGGCTCTTCCGTGCTCAGCATCTGCTGCGCGTTCATCAGGGCCTCCAGCTGTGCCCCGTAGTTTTCCACCCAGTTGCACACCGCCTGCCAGCGCTCGCCCAATGCTAATAGCTCGTCCTCCAACGCCGAGTACGCTGTATGCACATGTGGCACAGTCAGTTACGCGACGGGCTGAGGCCATTTTGGAGCAGATTTTCGGAGCAGGCAAACATGCATTTTAGAGCAGGAATAAGGGCTTTTTAAAGGCTCATTGCAGTGTAGGAAGACTGTGTTTGAGAAAAGGTAGAGTAAAGAGGAACTAAGCACCATTCAATACTCAGCATTTGACGTGCATATATAGTCGGGTATAATCCCACCATTACTACACAAGCACGCATTTTTCTTGACCTATGCACGGCAACGCTGTAACAAGGAGTGTGAACTTTTTTCACAATCGTACCGCTTATGGCAGGGTGTTTCGACCTGGAGAGATTAGTTGTATTTTCAAAATATGATCACCATATTTGGCGCAGAATAATGCGAATGTAGCAGGATGCAGCAGGATTTTTCTCCCAAAGCAGTTTGGCATAATTGGTGCCACTATCACTATACTGCACAGTACTTGGAAAAACACTTAGCATTGTTCTTTCATATGTTGCATTTCCCATCAATGATTTGATTGATTGATATGTGGGGTTTAACGTCCCAAAACCACTATATGATTATGAGAGACGCCGTAGTGGAGGGCTCCGGAAATTTAGACCACCTGGGGTTCTTTAACGTGCACCCAAATCTGAGCACACGGGCCTACAACATTTCCGCCTCCATCGGAAATGCAGCCGCCGCCGCCGGGATTCGAACCCGCGCCCTGCGGGTCAGTAGCCGAGTACCTTAGCCACTAGACCACCGCGGCGGGGCTGCATTTCCCATCAAAAAAGCACCTGTTAATGAATGAGCTAGATCAAGCTCAAAGAGCACAAATTCATTAATGATTCTCCATCACTTTCAAACAGCCCACAAGAGGGACGCAACGTGTGGAGATATTCACTTTAATTTATGTCCATGCTCGATGAAACTAGATAGACTTGTTTAGTTTGTCATGCTGATTTCAAATATGCAAGCTTTTTTTTTTTTGAACGTAAACTAGTTTATCAGATACAAAAGACTGCCTTTCTATTGTTTCTGGGGACACTAGGAAGATGACCATTCAGTACGAAGTGTATGTTATGGTGTAGCAAAATACTACAATATGCAATAAGTGCAACACTGCAAACGGTTTTCAGATTGAATCATAACAAGTCATTCTACAGGTGATAAAATTCAGTGTTTGTACTATGACTACCATGAAGAAATACCAAATCAAATTTTGGAAATCTTTAAGCAGGAAACAAGAATCCTGCTCTCAGCACTTTGTAATGCACAATTTGAGGTTTAAGCTAAAAAAGCAATTACAGCTCCAACTGTCTCATCATAAGATATGTCGCCGACAAGCTAAATAAGTGGCCCGTAAACATTTACCCTTTAGCTCTCACTCACTGAACAGATCTAAACTGTGGATGAAATACCGACAATCATGGGCATCAGCTGGACGTTGCAAAAGGGGCACTTGCCCTCCTCAAGTTTCAGCAGCACTTGTCCTCACCCAAGCTACAACAGTAGTCTCCCCCTCCCCCTGCCCCAATGCAACACTGGTTTGTTGCACTCCTGAAGAAAAAATCCTGTCGACAACCATGCTGACCATATAGGACTTCAGTCAGGCTGTACACACAAAATGACAGCTGTAGATCTCAATAACGTAACAAAGAAAACACGTCTTTCTTTGCCGATTTTAAGGTCTCCACATGCCATGTTCACCCACTGTGGTGGCACTATCATCCCCCATTAGAGAATACCAAACAAACATTTACTTTTCACTTCATACTGACAATTCTTTTTATTCTTTTGTTTCCTGCTGCACCAGTAAGTGCAGTATGGTACATATTTGTACATGTGCTGTAAAACAGTTTCTGGTTTAGAAAATAATATACTTAAATCTGACAGTGACATCTGAAGCTATTCATCGTATCAGGCGAAAAAACTTGGCAAAGAAGAATGATACGCACCATTGTCAGAGCTAGACTCGTCAACCACAACAACCATGTTTGACAAAGAGTTCACAACTGCCTGCTCTTTCTCTATGTCGTCTTGCAGTTGCTGTGAAAGGAAAGAAGATTGGCATGATAAACCACATGGATATGCACAAATTGCAAATAGTTAACGCAATGCCACAAGTAAATAGTTATTCAACTCAAGTTGACATACCTGCAACTTGTGCAGAATTGTAATGACGAACGGTACTTCAAACGTGAAATACTACATTTCCTAGCCGAGGTAATAAAAAAAATGCGGACACACACATAAGAGGTCTCTAAGCGAAGAACGAAAAAAATGAGAGGGTCGTCTTCTTAACAACGCACACAAAAACATGATAGGTTTGCATTTCTGGCAAGGGTGAAAACTACCTGCTGGATATCCTAGCACTGTAAGTTGAGCCCTTTCAATTTTTAAATGCTTTCGATTGGCATGCTACATTTGTAGTGTAATTTTCAAGGGCTCACTTGCCTCATAAAAGTTGAAATAAATTCCAATTTTGATGACTGTTGGAGCTTAGCCTTTGAAAACCATGATATGATTAAGGGGCACATTAGAGCAGAAGGCTCTGAAAATTTTGACCACCTCGGATTTTTTTAACATGCACCTAATCTTAGTACACAAGCCTCTAACATTTTCGCATCTATCGAAAATGCAGCCTCCATGGTCACCACAGCCGAGATTCATTCCTGTGACCTTCGTTTCAGAAGACGAGCACCATAGCCACTAAACCACCACAACGGGTTAATTCCAATTTTGTAATTCTGTACCAATGTGGGCTGTATTGTTTGTTCCTGAGCTCATCTGTCGATGAATTCATTAGCAGCATTCAGAATTTAGAATTCAAATGGTAAAAAGAATTGGTGTCATTAGTATTTCATATAGTATTCCTTTAGCCTGCACATTTATTATAATGCTGTTTTGCTGTTTATACGATCACCTTATTTACTGCATACTGTTCATATCCTTTGTCATCTTGTATGTGCTTATAATCATTGCTCTGTAGAGATGGTATTTTTTTTTCCCCAGCTTTTGTGAACTGTACTTAAGTTCAACTCACTCTTGCACAAGCCTGAAAAGGACCTGCAGTATTGTGAAATAAATACATAATAAATAAATAAAGTAAGCCCTCGAGGCCCTACACAATAAAGGTGGATGATATTGATAGCAGGATGATCTTAGCTTAGGTGGGCACGGTCTTAGTTAGATAGCTGGATGATCTTTCGTAAAGAAGTAAGTAATTTTTTAAAGCTCTTTTTATTATTATTATTATTAATTTCGTTCATGTGAGAACACTTCTGGCCTCACCTTGTGCTGCTCCAGTTGTTGTCTCGCCGTTTCCAAGTCGGGCCCAACAGGCCCAAACCTGCTTATCCTGTCTTCTGTCTCAGTCAACCACTGCCGCAATGCATTTTGCTGCTGCTTCTGAAGTTTCATTAGGGCCTCTTGCAGCCTTAGTTCAAATAAACAAAAAAAAATTGTTTCTCATTCATACATTAAAAAGTATAAAACCGATACGTGTTACATATATTTCACTATCAATAATCAGTTAACACGAGTATGAACTACATACATACTGTAATAATCTAAAGAGCCTGCTTGTGCTAAAAAAAGGGGGGGGGGGGGTAATTTGAAGTAGGTTTGTTAAACAAAAAATTTTATTTCCTCTTATAACTAATGGGTTGATTTGGTCATTTAGTTTTTCCTATTATAAAGTAAAATAACACCACAGACTGAGATGGGGGACTTTCAGTTGACTCATTGACAGAGGGAGTGTGGTTATTAAAGGCCTACTCCAGAACCTTAATTCTAAAGTAGTAAACTCTCTTCCAAAGTTATAAATACAGCTACAGGGTAGGCCCAGTCTAGAGTATACAGTAGACTACTTGAACGAAAGAACTGCCTCTAACATGATTCGTTTCCTACTTTTACTTTTGCAGCCTTATTCATCTCTCAGTAAACGGACAAGAAGCGAAAGTTGGGCCAGTTGGTGGTTCATGCTCATGGTGTAAAAACAGCGCAAAAATAGAGACAAAGACTGATGAAGCCCCTGTCGGCGCCCTGTCATCTTTTCTTCAGTCGTTGTCTCCACTTTTGCTCTGTTAATACATTCCAAGCAGCTGACGGAACTCCTGTTGAATAGAACATGTTTTCGTGGTCCCTTCAGGTTCCATCCAATGGGAGTCTACTGTATAAAAAGCAAACATAGTGATGTGTTTACACTATTTAGACACAAACCAGTTCCAATCGCATCTCGAGATGATTTTTGTCATCAGCATCATAACTGCCATCATCCCAAGCCTATTTATGTCTACCAAGAGATGAAAGTCTTCACCAGAAACTAGCCAAGTAGATCGGCTGACAACTCACTTTGTTTGCATGTCCATGGCGCTGTGCCTGAGGCTCTCCCAGCGCGTATTGAGCAATGCCATTTGTACCTTGATTTCCTCCTTCTCCTGTGCTGATATGCCTGCTTCACGAATGACCCGCTGCCCCTCCTGAAGCACCTCGCCAACACGGCCCTGGTTTCGCGTCAGCTCTAGCATAAAGTCCTGCAGCACAAGGAATAAATCAGTATGCATGCAAAATAATTGGTTGCAATTCTGTGCTATGTAAAACTTTGGCAAAGGATACAAACCCAATACCACTGCGAACAAAGTACAAACAAGTGGCATCTTAAATACATGCTTGCTCATTAACTTGCAGTTACAAGAAAAAACATTGAAAAAATACAATTTTGATTTGTAACAACATTTGAGTGATGCTTGTTGAAGCATTTGGCAGCACATTATGAAGACAAAACTTGAAAGCTAATATTGAAAAGTTTCACAGAAGACAAACTTTACTTTCATGTGAAATAATCCTCCCAAAGATGGCATGATGGCATGAGCACATCATGCTGATGCATTGTCAACACATCAGCATGTGCCACCTCTCAGAGTATTAAAAAAAAAACTATAAGTACCTTCCACAAACACCATAAGTGTGCTTTCCAAGCTGGTATGCAATGCACTTGCACATAATTTCAACATTCTAAGGGTTCTTAACTGTAATTTGATATCCTATGCACAGGTGTCCATGGGCCGCTTGAAAAATCATGAATGTTGCAAGACTACATTCGCAACCCCTTCTCCCAACAGCAAGACCCCGGACCCTTGGTGACCCCAATACACATGCCTATGATGTGGCACAACTCTTGTCAGAAAACTTCCAGGACACTTCATTTCTTGAAAGTGCCTCGCCTGCACATTATTGCTTAATTGTGTTCTATGTTTCAATCGAATTTTTCCCAAACCTCATGCACAACTAATGTTCACTCTTTGCTAGTGTGACAACAACACGAACAATGTGCCGCTAAGCACAGCCCTGTCACGTAATTAGTTAGCATGGAAATATGACCAAGGTCATGTCAAATAAGAACACATACCAGATAACATAAAAACAGCATTTGTTCACATTTAGTACAGATGCACCCACATATATTGAACTCGCTAACAGAGTATGGATTAGTTCGATATATTGTACAATTCCATTGTGAATATACTGTAAAATCGTCAGATATAAAGGGCAATTTGATTTAGCTGTGTTCAATATAGTCCGGTTTGACCATATTCCAAACTCAAAAATAAAACATTGCCTTGGAACTTATCTAAGGTTGCAGAAAGTAGCACGATTCAAATTGTCACGTTACCTCGTGCGTGTGAAAAAGGTCCTTCACTTGTGCCACAGTATTGCCTATGGGAGGCAAATTGAGAAGCCGATCCTCGGCTTCCAGCAACCAGGTGAGCACTTCTTCCAGGCTGCTCTGGTAGCTGATTACATTGGTGGTGGCTCCGCGTGTCGAGCTGGAGCCACCCACTGCTCTGCCTTTCAATGCATGCAGGGGAGTGGCACCCTTCCCAACGTCCTGGGCAACAACAGAGACCGACTAAGCATAATACTACACGCAAGGCCTCATAACAGCCCTCACTATGCCACTGCTGCAATGAAGACCGCGTCGTCTAATGATAAAGTTTCTGCAAAGCTTGTAAACGCACGACTGGCATTGCAGGGCCTGACAATGGTGTCACCCAAGCAGTGAGCAATCATGTATTGGCAAAGTCAAATCCTAGGATACCATGTCGTTGCAGTATACAGCCACAGGATGCCATCAGTCGAATAGGTAGATGGTCAAGCAAAGATGGAAGTGATTGGTTGCATCACCCTGGCCTTAATGAGTGTACGAAAGAAGTACCAAGGAAAATCATTAAGGAAAACTGCAGCATAGCTGGTACTGTCACATCAGAGTGACAGTAAAGAAATACTAGACAGTGGCAAAGTTGTGAGTTAAAAACATAGCACTTTAACTGCAAGCAGTGGTTAGCCCATGGAGCAGTTGGAGAAATATAATAAACAAGGTAAGCAGGTGAATATTGCTTCTTCACACTCAAATCAATCAGCAAAGGGCCAATAACTTTAACCAACATTCAAGTGCAGGCGGAATTGAAGAACAAGGCTGCAGTGATATGAGTGTGATCCATTTTAGTGTGATCCATTGTTAAGCATGTCAGCCACCTACTAAAAATTTTTTTTTCATTATCTTTAATAAAATTTATCTTTTTTATTCCTGTAAATTCTTCTTTCTTTTTCTTTGTACTTGTGAGTTCAGAAAGTGTTCTTGTCATTTATAGTACTTGTGTGACCTGTGTGTGCCCAACAATAGAAAATTCCACACTGAGGATGTTTATTCTTACACACATTCCTGAAAACTAATGAAACTTCCATGCTAGCATATTTCAGATGCAGTGAGCAGCACTTATAGGGATTCCACCAATCAAGGAAAATAAGAATAATGAGTAGTATGTATGCTAAAAGAGGCTATTTAAAGATATAATGACAATATGCAATATTTCTGCCTATACTTTGTCCACTCGAACCCACAGCCAACAAGCACATCAAAGAAATATATTTTCTTAAAAGGCTAACATATATTAGTCATATAACACTCATGTATGGACAGCAACCACAAACAACTTCACATTGATATATATGCACAAGAACACTGCCAATTGTGATATGTTTTTTTTTCAGATTTTGAAAATTTCTTTTAGGTATAAAAAGAAAGAGCAGCAAACAAATTTGGCAAGCGCACACATAAAATTGCACATACAAACCTGAAGCTCTCTTAGTGTATGTTACCACTCCCTGTGCAAATCAAGGACATAAGCTTTCACTGAACAAATAGCACAATCACCAATGACAAATTTGAATTACCCCGACCAAAGGAATTGGAGCTTCTGATAAGATAAGCTTCCACTGAAAGCAACAAGGCTGCGGTGCCTAATGTCGGACAGCGTACCTTTGCATCTGCCATCCTTAATGTAATATCAGCAGGAGATCACACGAAGTCACTATACGTCACAAAAAACACAAGCACACATGCTCTAGCATAACTATTCTGTCAGGTTTCTTTCCCGGCACACAAGGTATAAGGTGCGACCACACAGTTTGGCTCAGAGTCGGACCGCTCGTAAAAAAAAAAGTATGCTAGACACGCCAAGACGACACAACGACATCCCTATCTCGTGTGCTCTCCTTATCAGCAGAAAGAGTGCGACCCTCAGTCAAAGCCCTCAAGCATTTGGACACTCGAAAGAGCCGGTGAGAGAGCCAAACAGCGAGTGAATACCAATACATGTGGTGTGAAGTCTTCATGAGACAAACCCATGCCTTATTAATGCCCTGATCTACTTTTACATGCGCCATGTCAATGTCTAAACAGTGCTCGTGACTAGTCTCCTAGAAATTTTTAATTATGGATTTGTGCTTTCATTGATACATCATTACTCTATGACCGTCTGCAATGAAATCTCCAATTGTTGCAAATATTGTAAATTCATAATTGTGCTGATCTTACAGTGCCTCAAAAATATACAAATTTAAAAAATATACACCAACGAGCATGCATGAATGTGTAAGCGTACTAAAGACGTAATATGTGAATAAACAACTACTCCGTTGGCCGAATTTTGATGCATGCTCGGGTGATGAATCAGATAGATGCATTAAAGCAACAGAAACAGTGCAGCTTCTTGTAAAAACACAACACAAATTTCAAGCAACTCCTTCTAAAGTGAAGCATCGGCGACCCACTATCCAAATGTGTCCAGAGCCCTTGCACATATCCTATTCATTCAATTCTTTCTTATTATTTTTGTTTTCTTCTCTTCCTTCTGAAATCTTCTAATCCAATTTCCCGTCTCTATACTAAGTAGCCTACCAGCAGTATATACACACTGGCGAAAATCCATTTTTCCAATAACAACTGTCTATCCAGAGCCAATTACTGGCTATTTGCACAGGCTCTAAACACCAAAAGAGTTCAGAGAAACAGGGCTCACCTGACGAAATGTAGTTTCACTGTCAGAGTACTCTGATGAGCTGCCCCTTCGCAAAGGGATGTTTTGCTGGTGAAGGACTTGAAAAAAGCACATGACATACATCATGACAGACTTTTTGTCGGGATGAAGAGTGTTCACATCTACAAAAAAAAAAGAAGTGAGCTCAGATGAGGAGTTTCATAAGGGGACAGTGCTAGTGATGTGATGCGATTTGAGTGACCCCCGCAATAAGAGACAGTCATGTGTATTTCATTCCAAACAAGTGACACTGCAGAGGAAGCATCCACACATTACAAGAATGCCATTACCTTCAGGATCTAAAAGCCGCTCAATTCCTAACTGTTTCTCTGCAAACTGAAATGCGTGTTCAAGACGGGAGTTAGGGTCTTTGTTCAGCAGGCTTTTGTACTCAAATAAGTCAGGCCTAGATGAAAAAAAGAAAGAAAGAATCAGTACATACCATTTATGTTGCATGCTCTCTTCCACCGAAAAGAAAATTCAAAGGACAACAGATATAAATGATATGCACTCAGGTCCTAAAACTGACCTGAATTTATGTATAATAGCATTGAATGCAAGGCCGTCAATCCAGCTTGTTGTAAAATTCCTGATGTCCACTCCAATGTACCTATAAGGACACACAGGCAACATGAGCTATAGAGTGTGTTCTGAAACATAACACAGCTGCAACCACAACATAAATTGCTTGGTGCACAATATCTCTTTAAGTGCTGGGGACCTAGTAACAATACATATTGTGATCCTGAGAAAATGTATCTCTTTAGTGCAACTAATATAGTACAACAAACTACCATGTCAGTAAAACTATAGCGAAAAACCGGGTAGGTACAAGAACCGTTTTGCCCTATTGTAATAAACATTATCCTTAATGCAGTTAATTCATGTAAATGAAGCACGAAGTGCTCTCGCTACAAACAACAGATATAACTACTTTCAGCAGTCTATATTCAAGGTAGACATCATCTGGCGATAGAAATATAAATTTGATCAATGATTACGTTGTCACAATTCACCTGGCTTAGTGAGCAGGAGTAGTTAATCTGGTCAAATCATGACAAAAAAATGACAAAGCAAAAATGCCCCTTTTCCCTTTCCCTTTTCTGTAGAAAATTATTTTTCTGTAGAAAATTTCACACTGATGGAGTTTTCACGAGTATTAACTTCCCATTCATAAGCACACTAAATGTGTAATGACCTAGTGGACTTTTCTAGCTACTATCAAGCAAAGAAAAAGGTCGGCTTTAGAATTTTACTTTTTATTGGCCACAGCTCCTACACAGTTTTCATACGTCTTTGAACTAGGGCACTCGATTATGAGACATTGGAATATGAGATAATGCAGTGCATTTGTTTCTTAATCCTCAAGCCTATCTATTGAGTGGTTTGCCATTGACATTATGACCAAGCTATTCAAACTTTTCTTGAGAAAAAAACTGATTTATCTGCTTTTGCTGCTATAACCAGTCATTGCACTGCCAGAAGGTAGTTCTTCAAACTGTAGATATGAGTGCTGTATGAAACATGAACTGCAACTTGCCAATGTGTCTGCGAAAATGAGAATATGGGCCCAAATAAACTAAGCAATAGAATGCACAACACAATAGCTGCATAATCAAACACACCCTTTGGTGACATCTCTGCACCATGCGAGAAGAGTCTTTTCCAAGTTCGTCTGATGAACATCACTGGAAGCCCTTTTCAACACGCCATGTACCTGGTTCAAACAATGACATAAAAGATAAAATGTTAAATGCTATCAAATGCTGGTAATGTCAACATAGTACACAAAGACAATCATGCTCAGATGTTACAAGTTAATTATTTTGCTTCATGAGACAGCTACACTCTATCTCATACACAGCAGGCAATGCTATAGATGTATTGCACACAACAGAATTGCTACTATGGTAAATTTGATGCCATATATATATATATATATATATATATATATATATATATACGCACGCATAGATAATTCAACATACTATACTTATATTTGATGTAAAGTGTCACGCACTTGAACCCATTTAACATCAAGCAAGTAATGCAACATTTCTGCTATCAATAACCAGCGCCCGCTACTTGCAATTCAAAATGTCATATATTTAACAGCAAATGGAAGCACAACAGTGCACAAATAATATTTAATATAGTGTAACCTTCCACATGCAAGTTCAGCTGTATTGTCATCATCATCATCAGCCTGAGTACGCCCACTGCAAGGCAAAAGCCTCTTCCATATTCCGCCAATCAACCCGAACGTCTGATTTCTGCTGCCACATTATACCTGTGATCTTTTCAATCTCGTCGGCACTCCTAACTTTCTGTTTCCCCTTCGTGCGTTTGCCTTCTCTGGGAATCCAGTCGGCTACCCTAATGACCAGCGGTTATCCTGCATATGCACCACGTGCCCGGCCCATGTCCATTTCCTTTTCTCGATTTCGACTATGATATCCTTAACCCCTATTTGTTCCCTGACCCACTCTCCTCTCTTCCTGTCTGTTAAGGTTAAACCTATGATCTTCCTTTAGATCATTTGCTGCATTGTCATCAATATAAGCTGAACCCTTTTTGTAAGCCTGAAGGTTTCTGCTTAGATTGAGGTTGTATTATATCAAACAATTAATCAGCTATATTATCAGCTGTATTATATTAAACAGCTACTTATCAGAAAGCAATGCGGATCATAACTGCCATGTGAAGTGCACATGCCAACTATGTCAGTACCAGCTGCTAAGCATGACATACAGCACATAGTAAACAACTGTTTGTTTGACAACTCCCAAAAAATCATTTAGCAATCCTAAGCATGCGTTTTGACATTAAAACTGTTCGCAAAGCTTTTTACTACTTTCCACAAGTCCAAGTCAAATTATCGGCATAAGTGTGCCACAGTGCAATGGTACAACGGTTGTCACAAGCCTCAATGGACTTCTCACGTACCTGCCAATGAAGGATGATGCTCCAAATAAGGCCTAAGGTGAGCTTTGGATTGCCATCAACTATGTCGTTTGTGCTTATATTGACAAGCTTTACCTGCGTGAAGAATAACAACTTCAAGAAGAATACTACAAAAACAACACATACAATTTCAACATGTCATTGTGAAAAATATATATTTCCAAAAACAACTGTTCATTCTATCAGCCATGCATGCATTCAACAATAGCTCCCTTTCCCCTGAGTGCACATAACAGATGTAAGACTGTGCTTTCTTATCAGTAATGGTTAAAGGCATGCACCATGCGCAAAAAAACTGCTGTATAGTAGACCCTGAAATACAACCTGCAAGAGTAAGAGAAATGTAAAGCTCACACAGTACAATAGCAACATGAAAAAATCAACTGATAAAACAGGACAAGATAGACTTCAATGTAAAGCAGCACTGCCTAATGGTAGTAACTAGTCAGTTCTTTTCTAGCGACTTTTCATGAGCAACATTTGACTTCGAATAATAGCTTCCATGTAGCTTTCTCAGCAAGGAAACTACCACAGCTATGTTTCTCCTGCCCTAATTGTAAAGGTTGACCTACATGAAACACCCATGCTGCAGATCATTAAGTAAGAAAAATGCAAACTCACATTGTTAGCTTCCAGCGCTTGGAGTGCTCTGCTAACATTGTTGATATGATGAACTCTCAAGTGCCCTCTTTCTCGTTTCTGTCAAGACACAGGAACAATTCACTTGAAAACACAAAACAAAAACACTCCTAGAAAATCATGGCTTGCAAGAAACAAAAAATACATGTAATAGAGCACAACAATGAGCGCACTTCCTTAAGCACATGCAATCGAAATTAGGGCATGATTTCTGATGGATTCTTTCTTTTAGACGGTAAGCAATAGCTAAAACTTCTTGTTTTATTATACTGCATTTACAATGTCAAAGCCATGTGTTATAAAAATGACACACTGATCAGTATTAAGAAATGACATCCTATTTTTTCATAAAATATTTCCTTCCTACTTCTTATACAACCTTTTTCATGCAGGCCTAATTTAATTTATCCAACTTTATTGGCTTCTGCATTGATATAGGTTACCTATAAACTACCTTTTTATAGTCCTTAGACTTTCATTATTGTTCCTAGCACAACAAAACATTGCATGAGAAATGCAACAAGATGTTCACCTTTACTGTCATTTGATTGTGTGGAAAACAGACTTAAACCCATGATGAGCTTATATGTTGCTGAATGAAAAAGTCACAGCTTTGCTGCAAAGACGAAACAATGAACGCGATAGCAACAAATTGGAAGGTCATGCGCAGAATGGCAACCAGATCAAAACATGCCCCGCATTTCTCACGCACAAATAAAGCACGAAACGTACTCACAAGTACACATGAACAGGAATAGGCGTCTCAGTTGTTACTTCGCTGTGTCTGAAAAGCGCGCTCTTTTTGCAAACGGAGACTGTGCAACGATTGCAGTGACCTTTGAGCGCCCGGTAACTACAAAAAAATCGTTACGGTGAAAGCCCAAGGCCAGCCAAGACGTACGATCCTCTTCACCGTGAGATAAAAGCGCCTAAGCGAGCATCCATCCTCTCCTCTCCGTGGGGCAAAGTACACATCGGAGATGAAAGCATGTGCTGCCGCGTCATGACGATGTGGCAACACGCGCTCATTAAGCTATCTTGCTGGTAATGCTGAAAACATGATAGCCTCCCCCCGAGATGCCTGTCACCAGCAGTAAGCGGTGGATATAAATAGCTTGCTGTTTGAACGATGAATGACATGCTTCTCCGTGGCTCAGTGGTTAACACCTCGCACTAACGTTTCGAAGGTCCCACGTTCAATTCCATGCCAGAGTCTCTTTCTGAATTTTTTTTTTCCGCGTTTTCATATATATAGATCCATATACCTATATGGTAGGTGACGGTGACACCCACGTCGACACCGACGCCAGTGGAAAAATTCAGCTGAGTGTCCATGTAATTGCTCTCGCAATAAAAGCTAAATGTAAAGAACAACCTGCTTACTGTGTTCTGGGCATTATAAGTTTAGCTAAACGAACACGTTGACAGTAGTTACCATACTGACCAGGACAGTTGGGACCAGCAGGTAAATAATCATATCAACGAGAGCCCACATAAGTGATGGATAAGAGAATGCAATCTTAAGGGGACATGCCATATGCAAAAAAAACACAAGTTTTTTTTTAATCACACATTTAGTTTCTCCACATCCACAACAAAAAAACTGAAGATTGTAATTAAACATGAAGTAGATTAAAATCACTTTTAAAGACCACAATGTGGCTACTATAAATGAAAGAGAGCTCGCAGTCTGACTGCTTGCCACTGCATTTCGCATAAAGAGTTCGCAAAGGACTGTGTTCAAGATAACCATGATTGCCAAGCTCTCATGATGGAAGAAATCATCTTAATAAACATATCCTTTCCACATGGATGAGCTCTAACTTACACTTTTAAAATGCATTTTTTTCAGGATTCATTTTCAGGCAACTTCTTGAGTTTGGACATGATGTTTTTAGTACTTCTGATAGCTTGATCGAGATGACATTTTGCCCATATATTTCTTAACATGTGAAGGGTGAAACTTGATAACGGCTGTTATCACGAACTTAAAGTAAGCGATTAGTATGGGGTCAGCATTCTAATAATTCTCACACTACAATTTGTCTTGTCTATTAAATAATCTTATATGCATTGTCTTGATAGTTATTTATATTCTACAGTTAATATGAAGCAATATGAGCTTAGGAATGGCTTTCCACCATGAACTTTTAGTGACATGAAATGTTTGCCTAATGCTCGCTATACGTTATACATTGTCATGGAACAAAACGAAAACTGCGCAACTTACTATAGAACTAAGTGCACATTTGAAATCAGCATAAAAGCCTATGTATACACAGCAAAAATTTTATTGCCCTAGGCTACAGATTATTGCCACTTTTTCTTTTTCATATCGCATCTCCCCTTATATGAACTGTTACTAAGATCAGTCTCTCACTCCCTTTACAGTCTGTCAATGAGAACTTCAATTAAGCAAAAGGAAGAAGGTGTCATTCTGTTACACGAAGCATGAAACTATGAATGAGGGAAACGGTAAAGTTTCCTCTACGACTTCGTTCACTTTGACGAATTCATCAGAATTGGTTGCCTTATTCTGTGTCCTACTACTTCCAAGAGCACTGAAGAAAAGAATGAGTTTTCTCCTATAAGTGGGCTACTTTTTAAAATTCCACTATCACCTTACTTGCTGCAAGTCGACACTTCGTAAGGGAGAAAATACGCGAAAAGTAAATGCAAGTGGCAAGGCCACTCTGAAATTCCCACACAGAGTGTCATGGTGTCAGACACAGAGTGTCATGGTGTCAGATTTTGAAGGCATTTGCTAGGTCCTGTGTTGTTGCCAATTAGTAAAGATAATGTGCATTGCCTTCCGAGGGGGCCACGAACTGAACATATCAGTTTCCACAAAATTTTGTTGGGTCGTTGTCGCCAAAATACAAAAAGTAGAAGTCACGCGCAATAATTTTGTCGTAACATTTTTAAAAAATAATGCTTCGACCTTGACTTCTACCTCTGTTAATAAACCGACGAAGGTGAAACTAACGAAGGTAAAGTTCTCAGACTACAATTTATCTATTTGAATGGATTCACTGTTTCATTTCCATGTCTAACTCAGCAGCACACTGTAATCTGCAAGCCACCCACTTGCCTTGGATTCTACAGTGGCCATCCTGGAAAGATATCATGTCTGATCCTGCATTCATAATGTGTATAGTTCACCACTAAAAGTTGCACGCCACACTTAGGTGGATTATCCTTTTAAGCCCAAACCACATAAGCGCGAAATTGCACGCGACAGCGACGAGCGACGCTATGAGCGACGAAACATGGCGTTCGCGCGACTTGTCGCGGGGTAGTTTTCGCGCGATCGCTCCGTTCTCCAGATTTGGAAACCGTCGCTCATCGCCCGGAAGTGCTGGGCTCAAGCAGCCAATAGCGAAATACCGGAAAAGACAAAGACTACGTAGGTGCACGTGACCCTGCCTGAGTCACGTAGACGCAACAAGAAATAATGCAATGTTTATTACGCATGTGCATATAGTGCTACAAGGCAATAATAAACACTTTCCGTTTCATTACACAAAATATATCTTATTTTTAAATTGCATATGGCTCGCTACGCGGTTTTCTTGGTGCAAGTAGACGGCCTCATGCCAGCAACAGTGGAATTCGCTCGCCGAAGCCGTCGCGTGAATGAGGTTTGCCTGCGCTAGCGACTGATCGTGCGAAGCCGATCTACGTCGCGTCGCTTGTCGCTGTCGCGTGCATTTTCGCGCTTATGTGGTTTGAGCTTTATTCCTCTTTTCATGAAAACTACTTCCGCATTGCAGGTTTCTGCATGGCTGATCTGTGTCACATCTGAGCAATTAACTTTTAACATGTCACTGTTTCGTGCACCTTGTTTTACTAGACAACTAACCCTTGGTAATTTGAATTTTCACGAACTATTCAATACTGCACATGCTGCAGGTCTGTTACAGTTCTCTAGTAATGACATCTAGAATGTTATTCTTTTCTATATAAAAATGTCATGATGTTTTGCCAAAGCACTAAAAACACACCATTCAGAAGAATTAACAGATCTCTGAATGCAATGTCATATGACTAACTGGTATTTTCAGTGCACATATAGGCCTGATAGTTTTTCTTTTCCCGAGTTTTTCATGTGTGTGCAATTATTTTCTATGCTGTGCTGCTCGCTTAGTGATTATTTATTCAATATTTGGCACTATATACTTTCATTAAATTGTGCTTAATTAAGTTGTCCTTCATTAAGAAGTGCCATAATAAAAATGTAACATTTTTGGACCCAAGCAATCTTATGGCTATAAGTTCACACAGTGGTTGCAAACTTTGTGTAAAAATAAATAATAAATAAATAAATAAATAAAATTCAACTCAATTCAATTCAACTCACTAGCTGCTGTCCACAGAGAACTTCCAGCAGTGTGAGAAGCCTAGTTCCATCTCGAAAGTCTTGAAAGAGGTCGTTGACAAGAGGCTGGTCGGCCTGTGAACAGGTGAAGGCAACGGAAAGGAGATAAGGAGAGGCATGCATTCTTGCTTTATCTTGCTCCCCAACTTCCAAGATAGCGCCGTGCTCATTCATTGTGTTTTTATTCACAGAAGTGACGTACCTTGGCGAGTTGGGAGTTGATCCACTTTGTAAATGTTTTTCGCTGCACATCTTCTCGTTCGTCTGCACAGAGAAACAAAACGGGCAACAGTAAGAAAGTGAACCAATATAACATTAAAGCATTGAGAAGTAGCAATGTCTTGAAATTTATATGCAGGAAGCATGGCTATAAATCAAGACGAAATGAAAAAACACAGACCACTGTACTATGTCACAACTGACCGTTTATTTTCAGGCAGCATATATACTCAACCACTTTCGCTGCCTGGAAATTTTCACCTAAAAAAATAAACACTTGGTTGTAAGCCAGCACAGCTGTCTGTTTTTTTTTTTTTTTTCATCTTACAATGCTGTCTTCTGCATATAATCATGAGCAAACTAGCCCAACGTGTACCCTTCTGCAGCCCTAACAGCGCTGAGAATTGCCTAATCACTGCATATTAGAAGTAACCTGCTCTCGAAACACATTGACAAGATGTTTCGTCACCGAACACAAGTTTTATTAATAAATTTTCCCACAAACTGTGATGCTGGACTTGAAATGTGACCGCAGTTACCCGGCTCACATATAAACAATTCTATTTGCATATATATATATATATATATATATATATATATACATATATATATATATATATATCACTTAAATTAAACATCACTGACACACAGCATGAACTGCGCCTAGTTCAGCTCTACATTTGTTTAACTTATATGTTCGAAAAAATGCAAAAATGCTGTGTGCTCCCATCTTTGGTACATGAGAGAGACACTACTTGGGATCAGAATGAAGATTTGGGAATTTAAGAAACTACAATAAGTTTAGGAAAAACCGAGTGTGACTGTACTTGATTGTATTTGATGCAATTATTATGCTTTGGAAAGCTTTGCTAAAGTAAGCATCAGAAAATCTCCAGGAAAGTCCTTGAAGATGTAGTTTGTTGTGAAACAACAAGTTACTACTGTAGTAACTGTAGTAAGCAACAGTATATACTCTTGTAAGATACTGTAGAAAGCTACAGTATACTACAGTTTGTTCATAAGCGGGAGAAATGAAAAATGCACCCTTAACGTGTGGTTTCTATGGTGCTAACATATTTGTCTCCCCAACAAGCTCCAAAGTGGTACAAGTATAACAGCTTGTTATCTGACCCTCACTTATGATCAGTGTTTAGCTCATGCGACTGTAGTCAAAGCTCATGGAATTGTAATCACTTTAATAATCAAACATTTTGATCAACATTGAAGATGCTGTGAGGTTTTTTTGAAGATATTTACTGCATCAAAAGCAACCTAGTCTCAGTTAAACGTCTTCCCTAAGGAAAAAAAGCAGCAAAAATAGCAGATTAGGCCACGAGGTCGGGGATTTTCATGTCAAATGGGAACAAAACAATAGATATAGTATGTAAAAGCAGAATACACAAGACTACTCCTACTATGCATGAAGGCCTGTAGTGAAAGAAAAGTGCCATCTCTTAGATAGCGCTACACGCAGGGGTTTCTGTGTAATAAAACGAGAAGTGCTTGTTGTCTTAGATATGAGCGCCCACCTGTGTGAATCTAAAAACGCAGCTCCATTGTATGCGCATTGCAGGCACAGAAGAAAAATGAGGTTACATACATATTTTTAAAAAATGGTACACCAACCATAATACTCTTTGAGAAATGCTGTAGAACGCTGATCAGGATCACGTATGCTATGACGCCAACGTACGCAAACTACAAGCGAAAGCAATTAAGAGCATTTTATATCGCGAACTTCGTCCTAACCATTCGTAAGCAGCGCCAACAACAGCTACGATCACACGCGCGCCGAATGTACTACGTGCTACAATACTACGTGCTACAATACTACGTGCTACAATACTACGTGCTACAATACCAAATTAAGCGTAGTTATATTGCACTTAAATTCCGGGGAATCAAGGCGCGCTGACGCGCAACCACCTGTTCGCAGAATTTCTCCTTGCGCTCACTTTGTACGTCGCCAAGAACAATATCTCCCACACGAAGTGCATCGGCGGATCGAAAGAGACATTTATCGCAGTGCAAACACACCAATGCCGCGACAGGTGGGACGCCACCTAGAGAAACCGAAACAGACGCTGGACACAGGCCAAACCAGAACAAAAACAATCTCGGTAGGCTGACAGCAGCCCGCGATCGCGGCAGCACACAACTTCCCGTTCCGTGCAGCCCGTAGAAGCCCGGTTTTCCAGATGCGCTAGTTGAAAATTCGCGCACGCACACAATGGCCCGTTGCGTGGAAAGAGGGACACATTTGCATCAATTTAAACGTCAGCCAGCGCATGTGTGCGCTGGCTCACGCCCATTTCTCGACTCATTGACGGTTCTGATACGCACGCTTTTCAATGATCGCGTATTTTTCTCGGCCCGGGTAACCACGCAAAAAGTTTCGAAAAACTCGCAAGAGCACCGTCAACAAGCTCAGATTCGGCTAATCGAATCTGGGCTGCCAACTCATCTTTCAATAAAGCCGGCGAACTTAGTCTTTACTTCGCACAAAACGGAACCAATTAACTACCGACGCCGCTGTCTCCGAGCTAGACGCGGCATCAAGGACAGTGAACGAATCGAGCCAAGCATCGCAAGCTGCGAAGGCCCGACAGAAACCAGTATCACAAGCGTTATCGTTCAAGTGCAAACTTCACCCCGCCGAGACGACGGGGAGAAAGAAGCACAACGAAATCTGAAACGCGAGCGCTGCAAAAACCAGCAGAAAGAAGTCGCGCCGCGAACCAGCCAGCCGCTCGGGAGCGGCACCACCATCGCACTCACTACACGGACGGACAGCTCGCAACGCTTGCAACTCACGCCGTACACGGCAAGAAAAAATGCTATAGGCGGTGTCGGCGGCTCTCGTTCCGTGAATTCTTGTGTGCTGCGCGCGCTGACAGGCCCGTGAGCCGCGCCATAGCGCTTACCTGCGACCGGTGAATCCATGTCGTGCACATGTATCCTGGACAATGTAGTACCGTGCGAGACGACGCGTAGGAAGGTGTCCGGTGGAGGTAACCACGCGGTTCGCACACACGAGCAGCCCCCTCGTTCGTCGGCGTCCAATGGAGGAGGACATGGGAGGGCAGGTATCCCTACATGCCTTGCAAGCCAGCGGGCGCCCGACGGCTGTGCGAAACGCGCGCGTCGGCTGCGAAAACAGCTGACCGTCCGCGCGTCGTGCCGCTTGCGAGTTTACACTACGATCTTGGTCGCAAATGGCAAACTTGCGGCGTTTTAGTAGAGTCCACACGGAAGTAAAAGGCGATTAGCGTGATGCCCCGCTGAACTGTGCCGCCATGCAGCTCGTTAGGAGACAGGTGGTTGGAGAAATAAAAATAACACGCGTGAACGGATGAAAGAGCCGGATGTATTTCGAAGGAGTAAATGAGAAGCAGTGAAATATACTTTCGACCCGAAGAGCACGTGTTAAGCGAGAATTATAACGATGGGAAAACAGCTGTGTGCCCTAATATCGTACCTTCGGAAAGCGCTTGCCTACTGATCAAAAACAATTATACAAAAGTTGTCCACGAAGGCAGTAACAATATTACTCCACCTGAGAGTTCCCAATTGTTCTTTCCACAAATTATTCAGGATAAAATAATTGTAACACTTGGAGGCCCGTGATTTTTGTTTCCTACGTGGTAAATATTGTTTATATTTAATTTACTGTCAAGCGTTGTGATCACGATGTGTGTAGCAATGAACATAAAAATATTACAGTAGGACCCTTCCATATAGAGCGAACATCACCATTATTTCTCCGTAATATCGGCGCAAGTTATGTTCCTTTCGTGTCATTGAAAGAAGCTGACGTCCCACACGCATTCACCATAGGTATCAATATCGAATCGGCCTTTTCGTCATAAATTATTCATTTTTTCTGTGTAGCGGCAGCTTTAGAAAATTGATACATATTTGTTATCTAACAACCATATCCTAGTAAGTTAAGCCATTCCTTCATGTTCCGCTGCTCCAAGTCACACAAACTTCCCCGTATAAAAAAATTGAAGCTGCATGGTTTAATTGGGTTTCTGACTTCCGTGAGTATGGCTGTCAGTGTTAAGGGCTAGTTATTTTCATTTTTTGTTGTTACATTGTTATTCTATGGAAGACGACAACAAAATACGCGTGTTCTTGTTCACACTTCTTGTTCAAGTATGAACACCTTGTATTCTTCATTACATTCTCTTCGTTCACTCGGCTGATTGATGCAGCGGTCGGCCATATAAGGTAACTGTGCACCACGTAAATGCCTATATGCGGTGTTCTGCAGTGAAGCTCTGGCAGGAGGAAGTGCGGAGTTGGGAAAACGGAGAGGCACTTTACGGGTTAAATTGGCAGTTTTTTCACGGTGAAGCTATTATAATTTTCGTATATATTTCGTTACGAGTTCGTAAATACTATATGCCTCTACCTTTCTAGAGCGTGCACAGTACTGGATGTTCCGTACTACGCCGAATAATTACCATTCGGAGACATGAAAATCCGCTATTTCGGGTATTGTTCCCTGCAAACGTTCACGAAATTCCTAGCATATTTCTCTGCACAACAGTACCAATTCCCGCCCCATTCACGCACACACATACTATAATTACATGTGTCTCAAGTTTACTGGCGACTTTTAAAATTATGACTAGCTCCTCCACTGCCACACAACAAACGCATGATTTTATTAATTCATATACTGTTAGCACACTGTACATTGTGGCCTTCAAGTCTATAGCACCAATAGTGAACTAGGTATCGCTCCGCGTAAATATCAGAAACAAATCTCAAAGGCTATGCTTACGTGGTGCACGCGCCAGAACCGATTACAGCATATGAAGGCGTACTGCGACCGCTAATTATCAGTTGTCATAGAAGAATTTAACCATTCTCAAAATTCTCTGCAATATCACGAAGATTCTCTTTTCCCCTTTGGTTCAAAATGGCAGCCGCAAAATCCCCAAAAAAGGGAAAATTCTCTGCACGGAAAATCACTGAGCTGCGTGCAACGCAATAACTCTGCCTGCAAGCGCCCACTTCTTGATTTTCTTCATCTT